CTCAAAGATCACTGGTTTAGTTAGAGATTTTGTGTTGTTTGTGAGCTCCCCCATAGCGTATCATTTTTCCCATTACGTGTACCTTGGAGACAGTACCCGACACTGAGATTGAAATATATCCAGATACCGGTAGCTCCGTTCAAACATTGTGGCTGCGGCTGAAAAGCATGTACATGTACTTCCATAGGAAAGCCACTGCTGGCAGCCGTAGCCATTTGCCAGACAGCAGCCAAGATGTTTGGAACTTTGGATGCAGCGAAGCTCAGTGTTGGCATTAGCTGAACGAAGTTGCAGAAAAATTCCCATAGTCCCATGTGGCATCACCACAAATCAGAGGCATGGATTTCTCTAAAACTTTCTGGAATTAGGGACTATGAACTACAAACTTCTGAATTTTTAGAACCTCTCAGGTTTCATTATTTTCTTGCTCTTAACTAGAATGAGAGCCAGATTCACATAATTATCCAGCCATTCAGGAGATAGAACTCAAATCCTTAAAGACGTAGCATTTCCCTGTCATGTGCCGGATGTTTCGTGGATGTTTTTCAGTTCTTTTTTCCAGTTCGTACTTGGCACTGAAGTGAACATGAATATGATTTTGTGACAAATCACATCTTCACTCTGCAAATTTGGAAAATTTGAATGCATTTCAACTTGACAAATCACACAGCTCTATTTTTTGTTGAATGTTGTGTTGAATGTTGAATTCCCTTTTACAAAAATAAGATTGTCTTCTAGAAGGATGCAGTCAGAATTGAAACATTGGGCCCTTAACACTTCTGTTGAAACAAATTAATGCATTGGATTATCAGTGAGATGAACGCTGAAATAATTTTGGAGATACCGTTATTTTCAAAATGAGTGTTTGATTTCAGAGTTACCGAAATCTCTTGAGATGTCTGAGCTGTAAAAATGTATCCATGTAGACAGTCCGTGTTGGCTGCCAGTGTTCGTTGATGTTTTGGCCATGCATTGCTGTTTTTCTTATTGAAATCAAAAACTAGTTTTCAAGGGTACACAGTGGTGTGTTTATGGGGGTAGGGAGCAAGTTTCACGTTTTTACGTACTACACCCACACCCACAAATATAATGCTTTGGATATACATATATTGAAGCAGGTTAAAAAGTTTCTCTACTGAACAATAGGCAAGATAAGATCAACTTGATAATTCAGGGTTAATAGTTATTTATTCAGTGAAATAAAAATGCTGTGTGATAAATGATATCATCAAACAAGACCTAACCATGGATGAATAATAAATACATTCCAAAAGTACAGGACCTACGTGTACATGTACATGTAACCTACTTAAGTACTGTAGACCCACTGACCAAATGGTCCCTGCAGTAATGACCCTGTTAATGCCATGTCAGTCCAGTGTGTGATTGGACACTGCCAAATTGGTTATAACAGCAGGTGGCCCCATCACCATCAGGACTGGTGTGGTCATGGCCAGGTCGGCCTAGCCTAGCCAGCAGAGGCTGGTCTTGACCGGAGTCTGTCTGTAGTTTGACCCATCCCAAGTGATGATAAGTTATGACCTCTGCAGAAAGTGGAAGGCTTCTTAACAAGTCAAATATTTGTTTCAATTATAGAGACAGTATTTACATGTTCAGTTGTTTTTGTTTACAGAAATTGGACCTTTTGGTGCGTTTACAGGTACAGTACACATACATGCCGTCCATTCTACAGTTTAACAACAGAAAAAATAACTGTTAGATCATGCACCCAAATATTTGATCACACTTCATAAGGAAGTTTAACTGTAGATGTTCCAATGACCAGCACATCTCTGACTGATGACCATGGAGCTAACTGACCCACAGTTTATTGCTTGTTTACTGCACACTGCCAAGGGAAACTACGTCCCATACACCTACATGTATGTTATGCTCACTATGTACTGTGTTCAAAGTGTTGGCAAATAATCATCAGATACCCGTATGCAACAATTTGTACGTACATGCAAGCCACAGTTTTCCAATTCATTTGGTGTTTAGGGGATTTTGTTGTTCCAGGAAATTACTGATGATTGAGTACATATTGTACCAGTATGGTACGTGATATTTCTTCGGTGTGGAATGAAGAGTTATAGTTTCAGGGTTAGATTTCACTTGCCTTTGAAACTGGTTCGTGAATTGTTGGCCGCCCAGTTGGATGTATGCACACTGACAAAACAACAAAGTTTGTTTTTATTTTATATATTGTAATCTCCGGGGATATCTTACAGAGTAAGCACATCAGTGTGATAAAAACAAAACTGACCAAAAAAATGTATATTCGAGGGTTGTCGAATCATGCATAATGTTCAGAGAGAATACAACAGAAGCAGGTGCATGTATAAAAGGGAGAAAATGCCCCCCCCTCCAAAAGGAAGCTACTTTGTCAAAGTGTCTTACTTGCCAGGATGAGCGTTGGTTGTATGGTGGTCATCAAATATTGTATAGTACTGTACACATTTGTACATGTACAATGCACATTTGGCAATTTCAATCTGTGTATACGTGTACCGGTATTTTAAAAATATTTGCATCATGCTTTGGTATTAATGTTTGTTGTGGTACCGTAGGACCTGATGACGTATATGGAGGAAGGAAAATTTTCTCTTGGTAACCACCATGCAGGTTACACTCTCCATTAAAATTTTGGAGTGCTGTTCGGAAAATAGAGGAAAATTCAGCCAACTGAATTCAGGCCCTCTGGGCCTCTGAGTAGAATTTTAAACTTTGGTACGTCACACTTGCACCAATGTTGTCTCCCAAATTATCTGTTGAACTCTTTCAATCAGAAGTTGGCTGTTTAACCTTAAACACTCCCCCCCCCAACATTTGTGTTAACAACATCTCTAAATCTAATTATATATATAAAACGGTTTTGCCCGTACCCAACGTATATTAATACCGTTTTATATATATAATTAACATCTCCCCAACGCAAAAATACATCTCTGAATCTGCCACAGTCCACCAACATGTTGGAAACCAATGACACATAGGCTTTAAAGGGAGTCAAAGCCAGCACAAAGCAAAAGTGACTACCTCCTTCTTAACTTCCAAGTCCTGTGAAATCCTCTAAAATCCCTGACGGATTTTGAAACATCTTGGATAGGTCTGGTTATTCAACTCGTTCACCCCTGTAAACCCGTAAAGATTTTTCTGATATTCTGTATTAAGTTAAAATACAGTTAAGATGTTTGTTTCATTTTTAATCTCGCCTTTTTAAGTTGACTGTGGAATGTGCCTTTGATCACTGGTGTGAAATTGGCACAAAATGAATGTGAAATTACTATTATTATTATTAACTTTTATTCATCAGATGTCAGTAAAAGTGAAAAGGAAACAGTGCGAGTTTTTTATTGGAAGAATTAATACCTCAGTACAAATGCAGTGAAGCGGCATAGCATATAGGATGTGGTAAACACCACTTACATGTACATGTACGTGTGCATGTACACACACATGTACAGTACTTCCTCCCACTAGCACTACAGGCAAGTCCAAAGTGGCCAACAGGTTTGTCCCCTGTACCTCCCTTTAATTCTGCTTGCCTTCCCTGGGCATCTACTGGTATGAATCATCCAAGTCTCCAAGGGGGCAGGTCACCAATTGACCTCTCATTCCTGCTCCTCCAGGCATTTGTCAGGTTGGTAGAGAAGAGATGGATGGTAGTTTTGTCTGGCATTGCCCTCCTATTGTCTATTCTCCTCCCCCCAAGGAAGACAAAACCTTGAGGTTCAGGCAAAATATTGACAGAGAGCTTTCTCGATAACTGTCTTGCAACCCTGTGCTACTGGAATGTCTCTGTAGCTATAGCAAGAAGCCTGTTTTCAAACAGTCCATGGCCTGCCTTCTTCTTCCGGAGGTCATTTTAACTTCTTCTGCAGGTCAGCAAATAATATTTATCCCCATTGCCCCAGTCTTTTCCTTTTTGAAAAAAAAGTGGTTGCCATGACATCAAACTCCATCCACCTGTTAGTAGAGTTGTCATATTTGGATAATCTACAGCAGTTACACATAGACTAAGACATGATAAAGTGCATTTCTGCTGGAATGGCTGTACAAAATATTAGTGCCTGTCCTCGTTGAATTTTTGAAATTTGACAATGTGGGAGAAAGGTACCTGTGCCTTTCCCTTGCATGTGGTTCCTTTAGAATCATCGATCACCTTAAATCTTTTACGCAGACCTCTAACGAGCCCCCCTTCAATATTGTCCACGTAATTTGACTCAAATGATTAAAATCAAGGCATACGTGTACATGTACCCTTCCCCTTGAAATAAGGGTTTCCAAATAAGGCAGAGGTGAAAAGTTGACAACCCCAATAGAAAAAGCTCACACACTTACCCCTGCATCATCAGTGTATCCAGTGACTGTAAAACACTCTGTCCAGTGGGACTATTCAACTCTAGTAGTACAGCAACTATAGTGGATATTTACTTGCACATCTGTCTTGAGAGGACATGTGTGATGTACACCAATATGTCAGTTACAATCTGTTGTTACATGTAGTTACCTAAAAGTTGAAAGGAAGGCGGGAAGCATACATTGTAAAAGTTACGTAAAACGGAACAAGAGCACAGCAACTGTTTTAGGGTTAAGGGATGACATTCCATCGATGTGATGTTATTGATCCTGTAGAAATAAGGCCATAAATTGTAACATTCCAAATTTGCACATGATCGATGTCGCCATGGTAGCAATTTGTTGTACAGCCACTGTGCTGATTTTGATGGTGACAGATATTAGATTTTTGGGGTAACAGTTCCAGGCCATAGAAGTTACATGTAGGTGCTGTTTCATGGTCAGATTTTGACTGAGAGCGCTGTATGTACAAATGGCAAAGAGCTGTCGTTACTGCTTGACTATACTGATCAGAATGGTTTCCTAATATGACCTCTGGATTGTGAAGGCTGTCATATTTTAAGTAACACATGTATCATAACCTTTCCATCTGTTATTTAGAGGACATCTGTGTCTTTTTTTCCCTCCCATTTTTACAGTTGAAAGTAAATGACATCAAGGTCTACCCAGGTATATCCTCAGCCATACTGCTGCAGGACACGCAGACCGGTGTGAGCATTTTTGGCAGCCGGGCTCTCTTCATTGGGCTGATCGCCATCGGCTGCCTCAGCCTGGTCATCATCGTAGCAGGCTTCATCTACCTGGTGTGCGACCGCAAGCGGGGTCGCAGTGGCGAGTACATCACCCACCATGTCAACCCGGACCTTGAGGTGGGGCTTGACAACCCAGCGCTGATGACGGAGGCTGGGGACAAGACGGCGGCGATTAACGGCAACGGCGCCCACCTGTTGAGCTTCAAGACGGACCCAGAGGATGGGGACATCGTGCCCTACAACAGCTTCAGCCCCGAGGACCTGGCTAACTGCGAGGTAGAGGACACGCACCTCTAGGCCCGACCCGGGCGCCTTGAAATCTCCAGGTTTGCCCTTCAATCTGTAAAATTTAAAGCCACTGTATGGACAGTTAACTCTGTTCTGTGTAAACCAGTTTGTTTTGCAAGTTTTGGCCTTTGACTGGCCACCAGCTTCCCGGGATGGGCAAGCGTTGGCTTGGAATTTCACTCTCAGGTCCTACTCTCTGCATTTCTCCTTCAGCACATGGACTGTTGGAATGGAATAAAGTCATTTTTTACTTTGCATTCTCTAAACCTATCCCAGAAAGGGAAAGTAGTTTTTATACTTGCCAGACTTCTGTAGATCAGCTCCTGCTTGTTCTTGCTGTTTTCTTTAACGTACTTGTCACAGTTTTCCTTCCTGGTACACACATTTACCAAAAGTACTTGTTAAGTTGTAACTCACAATTTTCATTTGTGAAACTTTTTATTGAACAAGTTTTGAATTAACAAAGTACTTTCTCCTGCTGGTGGGTAGCTTTTATGGCCCAAACTGGATGACGACATTTAAATTGTGACACAAAAGGGTGTGGTCAGTGTTAATGGAGGGGCGTCTAATGGTGAGATTCCGGGAGTGCAGCCGTGACCCTCCAATGATTAGGAAATTTGTACAACCTCCAGACTTGCCCCTCTTTCTTTGTATGTTTTTTCACACAGTTTGTTTCTCATTAGTGTAGGGGCGCTGACTCTCCAGGGCCTGAAGCTCTTGTAGGCATGTACAGCATCCTGCAAGCTCTTCCCCCTTTGTCTCAGCCGACCTGCCACTGTCCATAGTAGGAGCATAGAATTTGCCGCCGTGTGGGCCTGTCTCCCAGCTGCAGGTCCGTGACCGATTGAAATGGCTGAAATTGTTTTGGGGTTTGTGAAAAAGACTGTCATTGTAGCTGCACGATGCTTCCCCGTTTCAGAATTCTGTCCATGTACTATAATACTAAAGTATAAATGACCAAAGAAAACCAAAGGCATTCCCTAAGTTTTGTCCTTTTTTGGTGATCATGAAACTGTAAATTGGGATTGTGTGCATTTCTCATCTCCTACTCTTGTTCCAAAAGAACAACAAATTACATGCAGTCCCTAGAAAAGCCATTCCATTGGACTTTGATAGAATGCTCTCTCAAATTTTAGGATTTTCTTGTTCTTGACTAAAAATGTAGCGAGTGTTTTTTTTTTTTTTTGGAAGTTCAGTTTCACAGAAGTCTTGCCGCTCTTCTGCCATTGTTTGCCGTTTTGCAATTTTCCGTTTTACCATTATAATTGTACAGTGCGTTTGATTCAGAGTTATTGAGCTACAGGTGCAAATACATGACCTGTATTAAAATGGTTGGAATTTCTGCTAATTCAGCGTGTATTTCTGCTTTTAGGAATTTAGGCTAACTTAACCAAATGCACTGGTTTCATTCAGTTTTTTTGTACCGTGGATATTTACAATATGCACATAGTACTTTAATGCGTGTTCAGTACAGTATGCACCATTCCATATTTAATGTGCACAGATCTGTCATTTATTTACCCAGAGAAGTGCACTTTCTGAATTCTTGTTTTGAACGAATAGTTAAACAGTACTGTAGAAATTTGCCAGTTTTGCCGTAATGTACATGAACACATAGAATCGATGATTTTTTGTTTCTAACATGTCAATTTGTATGTTTCTCTGAGGATGCGATGTGCTTATTAAAATATACACGTACATGTACATGTCACCTTTCAAGTGACCGGATCAACCAAAAATGACCGGACAGACTTGTCATGCCACTGCATTCATTTTAGTATGCAGATCCATCAGTGTCTGTAAAAATGCAGATAAGATTGGGAAAGGACGAACATTGCAAACGATTCCTTGCGCCGCTTTGTGTTTAGCCCTCAAGCCATTTGCTGCCAGTGGGTTAGTTGAACCTGTTGTCAGCCTATTTAACCCAATCTGCTGTTTGTTTCTTAAGTTGGGGGTTTTGCTAGCAGCTTGCTGCCTTGGAAAGCTGTAGCCTACGGATAGGCTAAGAGAGCATTCTCTCCATTATTACCCTATATGAACAGTGAGACTAAGGCAGATGTTAGAGAGGTTTGTGGGAGATGTGTGACATCAGTGTTGTTCATGCGGTACGCATCTCGCGACATTGAGCAAGTTCCATCTATTCCGTCCAGTCATCGGTTGGAGCAGAAAACCATCGGCTCAAAAATGAATGTGTTTGTATTTCCTTGATTTAGAAAGAATTGAACCAGTGGGAGGTACGTTTGATTTTACTCACATACGGTAGCTCAGCCAGTACATTCCAAGAAATTGTTGGCTAGAGGTAGTTTGGTTTATTTTGCACTGTTCCTGCATTGCATTTGAGGTGTATTTATTATTGGGTCATATATTAGCCTACTTAGAAAAGGTCAAGGTACCAGTATGTGTGTGTGTGTTTTTGGTCATCTTTCCTAAGGGAGCAATGCATGTTATTTGCTTGGACCAGTTAGAGGGCTTCTGTTTATTAATCAACAGGTTCTTTGTCTTTTTTTGAAGCAGAACATTTGAAAGCATTCTGCTGTTTCTTTTGTTAGGAGGCAAATGATCCGTAGTAGCCTTTTGTACCGTAATCTTGCCCCAAATGCAAAAGTTCCACAGCACCAAAGAGTTCATTTAAGCAGTTGTCATAAATAATTGGGAGGTCCCTGTCCCCCGATAGAGGTGTCCTACATGGAAGTTAAACTCCCTGGCATGTTTTTCTTTTCTTGGTGGTCAGACCCCTATTCCACACTCAGGGCTCTGGTCAGCAATGAAAAGTACAAACCAGGAATACCAGTCTTCAGGCAAAACCCTGATTTCAGGCTTTCGTTTAAATATGTTGGGATAATTTCAAGCCTTGAACAAGGCACATGTACATGTATACGGAGGCTTCTCTGGTCTTCTTTTTCCAAGGCTCTGGAGAAGAACCTGACTGGCACGCCAGTACCTATTGGTATGTCAAGCCTGGCACTGAACAAAGTGTGCAAAATGTCAAGTTGTTCTTTTTTCATGTACAGTGTACGCACACGTTTGTCACACAAAAAGAGAATATCAAAATGGTGCTTAACAAAAAAACACCCAGGGCCAAAACCGTGCTGAGACTGTGTGTGACAAGACTACCGGTATGTTTTTTGTCACTTTTCAATATCTGTCCTCCTCGCCTTCTGCACTCAGACAAAGTCAGACAGATTACAGGCATCCCGATGTACTCCCTTACTAAAGATTGGTTTTTGGAATGGCATTTTATCTGTCTGGGAAGATATCTGTTGTGACACCGCAGAGTTTTTAGCGGCTGTTTTTTCCCCTCTGTGCTTATTAAAATTTATTTCAGCTTTTTTTCCTTAATGTGTCTGTTGTGAGTCTAGATAAATCAGAGATATTTCACCGTGACAACTATTTCATGATAAGAGCACTATGCGTACATGCAAATAGTCAACTGGAAGATAGTTACATTGTAAATGGAGTGAGGAGATAAAGCTATGTCTGGAAAGTTTTTTTTATGAACAGTGGCATTTCTTGCCCTTCCATTTGACACTGCTCCTGTTATTTCATCTTCTCACCTTGATGAAGGGTGTAAATGTTTCACTTCCACTGACCCGAATATCATGGGCAGAGGTCAGTCAAGGGTGAAGCCATTCCCTCCCCAGATCGTTCCCTTTGGGGTTTGAAAAAATATGGGCATTTTAGTGGCACTTTCAGTGGTCATTCCTGCGGCTTTCTGGCAAACGGAGATGGAACTAGGCAGGGTGCTAGCCATGCTGGTAAAAGATGTTGAAAAACTAATAAAGTGAGTTGTTCGTGTTTTTTTTATTTCAAATTTGTTGGGTTTTTTTTGGTAATCTCTGTTCTATGATATCGTCTTTTAACTCAAGTTTTGAACTGCAGAAATAGAAAAATCATAGACTGAGATTGAAACTGAACAAATTGGCACCTGTCACATTTTTAGCATCAGACTCAAATAGATAAGAACTGTTTTTACGCATTGTTTTCTCATGTTTTAAGTTGTTGATACCTGTTAAAGAAGTCATAAATTGTCAAGGCTGTGCCCTACTGAACTGCATCAAACAGTGTGGTAAAAATCCCTTTTCTAATACCGCACCCCCCCTTTGACCTCTGCCCAGTTCTGTTTTTTTTTTACACTTTGCTCACCTGTCTTCGCATGCAAGCATATAGGGTCAAACACTGCAATTAAAAGTTGTGCTACAAACAGCTTTGATCTGAATTGTGTGACAGGTAGGAGGGTTAATTTTTCCTAGAGAACAAAATGGAATGGTCCGATTTTAATAATTTATTGTTGGGTTCCAAATGGGAGACGTTTAGACGCTTAATGGCGGCAAGTGTACCAGTCCTGTTTACGAGTTCTGAGGGTGTTGAGTGGAGCATGTGTGCCAAGTTCTGAGCATGCACTATACTGTGAAAGGACCGGTGTGCCTGCTGCCACTGGCATCTCGAAGTCTTCCATCAGAATAGGTGTTAAGTTGTATCAGAAATCACTCACAAAATAACCTTGGATACTTTCTAGTTGATCTTGTAGTACATGAAACATAACTTGTTTAATGCGAGATTCGAACCTTGGACCTGTGGTTTGTCCATTCGGGTATCCTTGAGGTCATTCATGTAAAGTTGCATTCAGAAGTTAAAATACATAGATGTACATGTAGTTGGAGTAAATGTTAAATTCCAATGTTTAAGACTGCAGTCATTTCTTGGTAAACCATTCTTTTTCTGTAGCTGATCTGTCAGCACATATATTTGCTCATATGAACCCATAACACGTTGTTTGTAAGTATGGGTATCGTGGATGTTTGGGATTGATCTGCTGTCTGTCCCGAGTTGAAGTGCACCCTCACTGGCAAGAAAAAGACAGACTGGTACGAAGTTTTCCAACCGGGTTCTTGCGTGCCCTGTGTCAAATGTGCACCAACTTGCATGCTGAAGCTGTGAGTTCCCACCAATGGACGGTTAATTTCATTTAAAACACGCCCTCTTTTGATCCCACTCCGAGCGGATAGAAGAGAAATAGTTGCCAGGAATAGATTAAAAAGTCTTACAACTTGAAATCGCACACTTATACACTCCAAGGCTGAGTTCAGGCGGCTTGTTCTGGTATGTTCACAAGGAGCTCGATTTATTGTTCATGGGTCGGCCCCTCAAATGGCACTAATGCACAGCCGGTTGTCGCTGGTATAGTTAGTGGCAAGCAACATGCATTATTATCATGGCGATGTCCATTTACATTCTTCGAGAGTTAATGTTTAGATATTGGGCTGAATTCTTTTCTATTTAAAAATAAAGATTCAGTTCTGACTTATCGAAACTTATTAATAGTAATTTTGCAAAACTTCCCATTGTCTCTGGCATTGTAAGCCATCTTGCTGTTTTTTGCAGCTGGTCAAAAATCAAAATCCTACGAGTTTTTCCGTGTGTTCCTGTGAAACCCTGATGAGGAGGTGGTGTGTGATCTTGTTCCGAGAACAGTGTTCTTGAGTCATGTTCCTGCCATTCAAGTGCGAGAACAAGAAACCCGCAGGACGCCTGAACTCGACCCAGGTGTATATGTAAACTTTTGACCATAAGTGTACAGATACTAAAGATTTGTGAACAGGGAGGGGTTCAAATCAGATGTAAACCTTCATGGGAAGTGACATCATGAATACCCACCCAGACTCAGTTTGGCAGTTTGAAAATTAAGTAAAGCCCCAAGGCTGCTTTAAGTGGAAAGGCCAACACAAAATTGACATGTTTCCAAGGGAACAAGGGAAGGGAAGCATGTCACAGGTGTTCATCTTCATACACACAGAACCCGCTCTTCACTCCCTGCAGGGATCCTTGGTGACCCTCCCAACTATGTTTTGGAGGATGGAGGTTTGTGCCTTCCAAAACACCCAAATTGTGACAGGCACAAGGGGCCACGTCAAAGGTTCACCCGCCCTGGAGGTAAAAATGTACCTGTTGGTTATTCAGGGTAGGGATTCTGTGCTGGTCATTTCTGGAAATTATTTTTAGGAAAGTCTTACTTTTTTGGAGAAAGGGGTATTTAGCCCGAGGCACTAACAGCTGATGTTTTGGGCTACCAGTCAAGTGCGCCTGGTGGTGCAGGTTAAAATTTGATTGGATGTAATTAGATGGACGTGTACATGCACACAGTTGTGGCCTTAATGCACAGTAAATGTCATGGAATGTTCTGTTATGTTCGGTGTCACTCTCTCAGGGCTGCTTTGGTGTCCCCGTTACACCTGACCTGTGGAACTTGACCTAAAGAATGTCATTGAAATTGACTTTAAACCACACTTATTTGTTTGGCAGGTACTTTGTGTTACTTAATCACACTTAGAAATTAAAGACTGGGTTTGTGCACAATCATTCGTTAAATGTGACAGGGACATGAAAAAATATTAGGCCCCAAAATTATACACTTACAACTACCCCATTGGAAATCAGAGCTGAACAGGGTTAACTTGCTGGTCTGGCAAATCTTGGGTCCGTGAAATTCATTGCTTGATTGGTATGTTATTGGTACATGTACATGGAAGTTGAAAGTACAGTTTGGACTTAATTTTTAAGTGATACTTCTTTGTCTTTTTTTCACTGAAAGTTTTAAGTACTGTAGTTCTTTCTGAATTCAGAAGAATCGAAAGCATCATAGGAATATTCAGGTATGTGTATGTACGTGCCGGAATTTGCCAGAACTGAGGCTGAAAAAATTCTTACTTTGAAATCCCACCGTATTGTTGTAGTGTTAATACTTTGAAGTTTGAAATCAGTGTTCACCTTAAGTAGTTTGCCGAATTCTTGCTTCCATGAAAGTGGTGAGTTTACAGAAAAGAGAGCTGCTTTTGTAAGGGAAAAATGGCCTTAAAAACGGAAATAATAGACAAACACAGGGATATCTGGTGTTTGATGCCTTGATAAGGAAGATCTTTGTGTCTTTGACCTTTTTAACAAATGATCATCTGAACAAATTACTGGAATTTCAAAAGCCAAGTGTTGGTTTCTGTAAAACGTTAATGTTGACTTAGAACTTTTAAAGCTCAAATTGTGTTTTTAAAAATTGTATTGTTCATAAGGGTTTCATGTGTTATACGCTTGGTATCAGCTTTTGTTGTTTTGCCTGTTCTCACAGCATCGTTTTGATTAACTCGGCCCACGTTGCACTAAGCTGTCTGCTCAGTGTTATATTGTCTAAACTAGCTTTCTTATTAATTGTATAGAAAATCTGCAGAGCAAACCAAAGGCTGTATTACTGGGAACAGGAGTTGTACGGATTAGAATGAATGATCACGGTGATATGATGGTGGGCGCAAGTGAAAAAAATTGAAAAACTTACATTTGGTCGAATCATTAATTTAAAAACATTTGATGTTAAGTCAGTTGTTAGCATGTACATTATTTTTGTTTTGTTTGAATCACTTGAATGACAAAATTCTGTAAACAGTATTGACCGATATGAAGATAATAAATGAGGTAATGTGTTCAAAGTTTGAGGATTACGGCTTCTCTGATGAATCTAATTCAACTTAGTTTAACCGCCAAACCAGAAACTGCCAAGGCAGTAAGGAAGTTGTTGGTGACATGCTCAGCTTTTTTTCCTTACAGTTTCCTGTGTTTATTTTATGGATGTCATCTTTAATGATGGTAAGCTGTGATCAGTGACAGCACTGCTTTCCATGTACATGTAAGCCCTCAGATTTACGGCGTGAGTCATAGGCATACAGGGGTTCCTCAGGCAGCCGCCAAAAGGCCCACATCTGGAGAGAGGAGACTAGAACGAGATACAGTTACAGGTTTAGAGGTGGGAGAAAAACCCCAGGGAAATATTCTGGGTAAAACCCAGGAATCAGGCATGGACTGAAATGAAAACACAATCCACATGTGGACTTAGCTTGGATTCGAACCCAGGCCACGGAGGTGAAAGAAAAGGAAAGAGCTACTATGCTAACCTATTTCAATAGGACTGCCAACTATCACACATCTGCAGAAGACTCTGCATTAGAAGCAGAGCTGTCACTTTATGGAGTACACCCCAGTGATGATGTCGAGTACCAAAACTTGAGTACCAAGTTTTCCGAGTACACACAGTGCCAAGTACGAGTACAGAGAAAATCGAGTACATCCGAGTACATTGTAAAACTAAAACATTGTGGAAATTTGCATTGTTGTGTGTGATACATAAGGTACTTGCCCTGTATTCCAAGAAATTAACACGTATGCATACATGTATATTCAAAAGTGTTCTTTTGCTTTGAATTCTTGATTTATTGACGAGGTACCTCTCGGACACCTTGCAACATGATCTTCCTCATTCTGGAGGTTAGGAAAGATATAGCTACTTGATTGAGAGTTGAGATATTGCGTGACTTTTAACGTGTAGCTTACACTGTGAAATTTGTGGTCAAAAATTAGTATCGAAACAAATTTCAAATTTCGAGTACTGCGTGACTGGGATCAAGTTAACCAAGTACAATTTGTCGAGTTTAGGGATGAGTTTGAATACAAAATTATGAATATGTGCTGAGTACTTTTTGGAGTACTTATCATCGAGTACGGGCCAAGTATGTTTTATTGGTACTTGAGTTGTACTCGATTTCGAGTACGAGTACTCCAACACTGGCACACCCTGATTCAGACAAATCACAAGTAACAGGCTGGACGGTGACAAAGGAATGCTCTTGTCACAGTCCAAGTAACAACTTGTGACTTGGTTGACTCTCGGTGGACTTGCAGGGATTTGTGATAAGGATGTGTGATGGATATGCAGAGATTTATGAGAATTTGTGATGGACACGACTACCCAGTAGCTACAGTCCTATAGCTCTGTGCTCATTGTGTATGGTCACATTGCCACAGTTTGTATCATGTTCTGCTGAAACATGCATTTTGGAGGGGCAGCATTAATGTCAAACACTAACATCGATGCGAGATCTTTCAACATCACACCCATGATGTGCCGAAATTTTGGTGAGTTCCATGTACAAATTAGCGTCCACGCTACAAGCTTCCAAGGCATGAACTTACACCAGCCATTTTAGTACACTAGATGGAAGAGATAAGGGGCTCTCCAGGTTTATCCAGGAAGTGTAAACAGAGGCCGCATATAATCTGTTGTTTATCCTTCTCCCTAATAACAATGCTGAAGAACAACCCGGAATCCTTTCTATTTTGCCCTTGGGATTCCATCTTGATTAAACTTGTCATGAGCCCTTTTGCCCCAGACACTCAACAGAAGACGACACACCCAGGGCTGGATCATGGAGTGTTTTGTGGGCCTCCGGCACTAATGTTTCCCACAGGCCCTTCAGTGGTCTAGATTCAGTTACCAATTTCATTAGCAGATGGTCACACTAAGCTAACTTTGAACTTCAGAGCTTTGCCAAAAATGGAAATTAGAGAAAGATACATAGCCCTAACGTTCCTGAATCCTCCAATTTTAATATGATTTTGCACACACCCTAGGGACTTAGGGTTAATCTTTTTTTTTCATTTGTTTTTTAAATTGCAGCTTAGGTGGAGTATTGTATGGTTTTTAAATCATATTATGGTATTTTCATATAGACTGAATTTCTGCAAGCCCACATATTTTTTGGCGTGCCCTTGCGGGAACGTTGCCCATGGACGCAGATCCATACAGGAATAGGATAGTACCCACTGCAAGCCCCCCCCCACATTGCATTGCTGTATTTAAATCAAAGTGAGATTTGTCAGGATTTTTTCATCAGGAGTCTCCCGATTTCAGGATTTTTTTTCTAGTAATCTCTTTTAAAAGTTGGGAAATCCAGAGTTGACCATTATAGTGTTCTTGAGTTGATGTAAAGTACATGTACAAGAAATGGGCAGTTGAAGGGATGGTTTTGGTCAAACACAAACATATGCCACAGACCCTGAACTGGTGTGGGGCCCTCAAAACCACTGATGATTATTTCATGGATGTTTTGCTCTCCAATCTCATCATTCCTGTTCAATGACTTAAGATTTGCCACTGAGTGCGTACTGTACCGTATTGGATTATCTAGCCCTGGATGTAATGACACCCTCATGTTCCAGAGGCAGAACCCCCAATTATATTTTGCTTTGGCACAAAGAGAAGAAGACATGTTTCCTATTGTTCCTAATATAAAACAGTACCATAGACAAATGACAGGCACTTACTACCAAGGACAATAGACTGGCTACTGAGGACAGGAACACACCTTTTGTTACCTTTTGAAATTTGAGTTGTGTCCTCGATCCGTGGTAAAATAAAACTTGTAGGATACACCTCTACATTTTAAGTGTTCTTTCCTTAACAGTTTTTGCACCCTTGCCTGTATTTCTGACTTGTAATTTGCTTCTGTATGCTAAGGAGGAGTTCAGACAAGGAAGAAACTTTACTTTCAGCCGTTAGTGACTTGCTGCACATCTTTTGTGTACTACTTCTAACCACAGTCCAACTTGAGCTTTTGTCTTGTGGTACTGTGTAGTTTGTTAATGATATGGCAGTCAGCATGCTGTCCCTGTCTCTTGGCCCTTGGAAAAGGTGGTTCACAGATGTGTTCTTGTGGGCCATGCCAACACCGTGTACCCAGGAACCACCTCATGAACTTTAGTTTATGTGTGCATTTTTGAACTGTTTCAATTTTTATTTTGGAAAGAAATAGGATATTAGCATATTACTTTGAGTAACAAAATTCAACCATGTTATGATTCTGATACCCTGCCCTTTTGTGAAAAGGGTTGTCAATTACCATGCAGTTTTCAAACCTGAAAAAAAAAGAGATCTGGAGTGACTGACATGGAAGAAATGGTGTACAGCTGTTGGAGAAACCCAAATGCATATTTTTTATGGGGAAGGGGGCACAGATTTGGGTTAGGATGGAATATCCAATACGTGAAAACCAAAAGAAGACAAGGACACTTTGCCAGTTTGGCTGCCTACTCCAAAAAGATCCAGACATGTCAGTTATTTTATAATTTAGTTATTCTCCGGAACACTGCAATAATATTACACCCTAGACAAGTTCATGCAGGCAGTAGCTTGGCACAGCACCTGTAGGCCTACAAGGGTGCCAGCACCACTTCCACAGCTGTGCCCTATACATTTGGGGGACACACCCAATGTTCCTTTGCCCTCCAGTGAAGGGGTTAACTCTAAAAGAGCAAGTTCACAGTCAGTGATCTCTGCAGCTCTGGAAAAACCCAGGGGAATCAAAGGGGGTGTCGGGAGAGTGATTTACTTGTATCCAGGCAGTGTCATGGCTACCCATTGTCAACGCCAGGTTTCACCAGTCACAAGGGCGGAGCTGCGTAGGGGTGCCTCAAAATTTATGCCTGTTTTTTACTTTAAAACAGGGTGACAAAGTATTGAGGTGATGTGGATGTTCAGTAAGCACTCAGCTTTCTGCAACTGCACATTCTGGGCCTTTCTGAAATGGCTTGCCATTTACACACAAGTCTATTGGATATGCTGCCGCTGCCAGATAGCGGCTGATGCATACATATAGGTGTTTGTGCCATCTCTAGCCATAGCCAACTGATGGGAGGGGTTGATGCATACATTGTCTTATTATTTAATACTTGTGTGATGCACTACAATGAGGCATGATTGATCAGATATATGTGACCCGCTCTGCAAAAAGGTGTATTACATCGCACAATGCAACAACATGTAATGGCCCATTCCATGTGCCGAGGGTGAAAACATTTGGAAATATTTTAAGGCCAATTGCTTAACCGAAAGCCTCTGTCGCTAAGGAAAACCAAGAGAGTGTCTAATTAAAGTTTAATGCTTCTGTTCGTTATGTTTAAAGGGCACTATCTCAACAAGCATGTGTGATAATGACATCCAGACATCAGACATCCAGGCCAAGGTGTACATGTCAGTGGCATGGTATGGGCCTATGAACTTGCACTTTAGAAAAGACAAGATCATTTTCACTTCACTCAAAAAATTACCAGAGGGCCATTCCTTTGTGATATTAATTGGACACCCACCTGTTCGAGACGAGGGTTTCTTTTCTGTGAGTTTTGAGTTGACTTTTTGAGTTTCAAGTTGAATTTTTAAGTTTCAAGTCGAAGGGTCAACTCAAAACTCAAATAAAAGTAACACTCGTTGGGGACATGTACAAATACATGTACATCCCCCAGTCTCCAGCACAGATCAGGGGCCAATTTCATAGTGCTGCTAAGCACAAAATTTGCTTAAGCATGAAAAAACCTTGTTTGACAAATCAGGTTACCAGCCAGAACTCCATGTAATGTACATATTGTTTTGGAATGGTATTCACCTGTCTTTTGGTTAGCATGATGACAATCACATAGATTTTGAGCTGGTAAACTTTGTTTTTTAAGCAATTTTTTTTGCACATAAGCAAATTTTGTGCTTAAGCAGCTCTAAGAAATTGGCCCCTGAGCTGACCCAAGAGCCCTCAGTGTTCATTACCTCACCTGATTGATTACTTCCACAGATATGGCTGGAAGGATAAAAGACCACCTGTAGATCTTTTCCCACTTACTAGGGAAATGATTGCATGCCATGCTGATGTTCTGTGAATGAAATTTGAATGTACATTGAACTTTGATCCATCACTGCAGTCTTAGCAGACATTCCAAATTACTCTATTCATACAGTTAGTTAAGTACCTTTTAGTCTTGTCACTGTTTATCAAGAATTATACAAGACAAATCGCATAGCTTTTATTTTTGAAATTTGTTTAAAAACGAAATGAAACCAATCATTATGCCACTGCAAATAGGCTAGTTCTCTTTTTCTTAAATAAGCCACAGGCTAGTGTTACAGCTAGTGTGGTCCTACTAGCAAGGACCCTGTCCTGTTGTTTTTGCCGACTCCTCAAGTGGTCTTGTGTGACAATATCCTGCAAGGCACTACATCATGTCTTTTCGGTAGGGTGGTTGACCCAAGCCCTCACATAATCATCAGAGGAATGGAATTTGTTTTACCGGTGTGGTATGCAGGGTTGGTGAGTGCTTGTCAGTGGGGCAGGAGGGATCATCTTGGAAGTTGGTTGTCCAACCACAATCTGGGGCAGTAGAGTTCAGGATTTGTATTTTAATTTTTTTGTAAGGAAGACACTGCTATGTATTCTGGGTGTAAATGTTGTGAAGCGCATCCAAGTGCAATATATCAAGACAAAACCATTTGAAAATGACTTTTGGGGGAATATTAATCTTGGATGAAGAAGAAAAAAGATTGCAAGACTTTTTTGCTTAGTATACAGCCTTCTTCCATGATTACACTTATGTGGTTTTGTCACAAGAAACATTTCCTTAAAAACACTGGTTTAAAAAAAAAAATAACAAGTGGGAGCAGGTGGGTGGAGACTTGAGGATTTTTAAATTAAGGGGGACCCTAAATGTTTTTATTGGAAGCACTTTACAGCATTTTTACTAGTAATTTTACATGTATTTACAGTTTAATGATCATGGCTCCTGCCCTCCTGTATCTTTTTTAAACAATACTTAATTGGGGAGGAAAAAAGATATCCCATCCCCTCGTCCAAAATTCAGAACGGGGAGGGGTTATATGCCCTATTCCCCCCCTCCAGTCTGAGGCCAATGAAAGGCAACGTGATATAACATGTATTGCCATGACACATGCTTTTTTTATACACCAAATATTTGAGTGAAAATAAAATAAAATGGCTTTCGATCTCCTCAGGCTTCAGGGAAAGTATGCACAATGCAGACAAATGATCTGTTATTTGACTACTTATAAAATATGTACTGGTAGGCCTATACAAATGTGACCTGTGTAAGAACAGAAATTTACAAAATTCCAACATTCCTGTTAGAAATACACATTCCTGTCACTTTTGTTAGCCTTTTTTTTAATGAAAATGGAAGACATGAATAGTCCAACTTGCATGGCCAGTAATTGTCAAGTGAGGAAAATAGTATTAGTCACTGTACATATTTTCTAATGAATACTTATTACCATCCTTTCTTCCACTGATGCTCAACAAATAACAAATGTCGTTGAAAAAAGGAAAGGCACAACCTTTTTCTAAAAAGAAATTCAATGTGATGACAATGTTATGAAGTTTAAAAAGGTCATCCCAGACAGATAGCATTCCCAAGCTGTGTTGAAACCACAACAGCTTTTTAACAACCTCACATATTTGAACAATGACTCTCCAGTATGTAGAGTGAGTTGAAACATGTAGTCTTCTTTCAAGGTTGTTCTTTACCCAACTCATTAGAAAGAAATTGGGGGGGGGGGAGTGAGACATGAAAATATGTTCTGGATAAGACTTTTCCCACATTTTTAATGAGGAAACCATTATTATAGCAATGTAGTGCTATTCTGGAGAGGGCAGAGTCTACCATAAAACTCCCTTTTGTTCCAGTAGGGTGAGGGGAATTAGCCACAAGTATTAACATTCCAAGATTGATGATGTGGAGGTCAGACTTGTGGACCTATAATCCTTTTGTTTCTGGGCTGGGCTGCACATGTGGGACTTTAGTCTTATCTGGCAATGGTCTCTGTGTTATCTGGGCGGAGGTTCAGACTTGCAGGTTATGTGGGTCGATTGTTACCATGGAAATTGAGAAGCACCACAGGATATGAACTCTTTGAAGACTAAAGTAAATGGTGGTGGAATCCAATTGATGTCAGCATTATTGGCAGGAGAAGTACCAAGAAATATAAATATAGTCACTGTGGATTGCATCACTTTGGACGTACCTAATGATCATGAAATGAATACTCCGGTTACGGTGCTGTATACAAAGTTATTTAGGCTTTACATGTGGGACCGTGTCTTCTATTTTCAAAGACATTTTCTTAAAACACCATCAGTTCTTTGCAGAATATTTTTACACACCGTGGCTGTTGTTACGGCAGCTGTAACGCATCTCCCATTTTCTATTGTTACGGCACTGCAACTGCGCAAGCGTGCCAACTTTGGCAGATTTCGGCCTTTATTTCCCTTTTAAAAAAATCCTCCAAAGCCTCCGATGAGAAAAGAAAAAAGATTCCTGCTTAGGCCTATACAATTAGAAACCAACATAAAAAAAACAATTATGGTATAAAACATGAAATTTAGGCGAAAAACATAAAATGGTCCAGCGCAGATTCGAACTCACACACCAGTGGTTCCAAACATTCCACCTTGACCACTCCGCCGCACGCGTTCAGCGATCCAAGTAATTTTGAAATACATAAATCGTCGTGATGATCAGCTATGTCATCGCACTTGCGTAGTTCAGCGCTGTAACGATAGAAAATGGGAGACACGTTACGGCTGCCGTAACGATAGCCACTTCGTTTGTTAAAATTCTGTGAAGAAAAATAAGAACAGAATTAGTCAATTTTACTGAACAGGTGCCATACACAATGAATATTACAGAACGATTTCACTTGAAACATTACATGTATATGAAACTACCAGCAACAACTTACAAGAACAACCCGACAGACCAATAGCTGTCAAACTAAGGAAACCCTATCTGAGGATCACGTACTTGCATAACTGAACCCTTTGTGCAGTGCTGATCTCACCCACCCAGCAATAATTCACGGCATACTAATTTACTCCAAGACTGAAAAGTGTCACACATGATTTATTACATAATGTACAATGTACAAATGCCTCCACTTTGCAGTGTGTGCCACGCTATACCGGTCAGCGTATTTGATGAAGAGCGCCCTCTAATGCCCCCACTCATTTCCTGCTGGTGCATGTATGGCGTACAGAATTCTTCCCAAAGTGTGCTCCCTCTACTTTTATAGTTCATCTCTTCTAAATTCCAGCCCTTTGTACTCAGTGGTGATTGTGTCCTCTTAGCTAGAGTTTTTTTCTCTCTTAATTTTCTCCTCTGGAGTTTTTCGAAAAAAATTGGATGTCAATTACGGAATGAGTTCACAAATCCAAGACATTCTCGTGAAAATGTACCCCTTGAAATTCACCAATATTTTTGTATTGTGGAGTCTTCAGTCATCACCATACAAAGATTCAAATCTTACTCATCAACAATTCCCTTGCTGTAGGCAACCCTTGGTGTGCATTTCATGAGGAAAAAAAACTGAACACTTTTCCTCGGTGTGTATGGCATATACAGAATGGACCCCTTGAATGAGTATAAACTGGCACTACTTGGATACAAGGATTAAAAAAAGAGGGCTGATTTGTAACATTTCCCCCGTATTGTTACATTTGTGACAGTGTCAACCATGAACAATGTTTCATATTGCCTTCACCCTTCACACCAGTGTTATTTATTTATTATTAACATTTCTGGTAATGACATCGAGGATTCCTCAAAAGCACCCTACTGGTAGGCACTGTAGCTTGCAAGCCTGAAGAAACCTGTAGAGAGGAGACAATGAAAAGAGGTGGGACGAAAGCCCCAGAGAAGTAATCTGGGTACAACCCACGGCATCAGGTAGGGACTGAAAACCCTATCCACATGAAGACTCATTCAGGAATCGAACCCACGCTGCATGGGTAGAAGGCAAGGAAAGAAGCGCTACGCCACTCCGACGCCCTATGTAATGCAGTAGTAAGCCCCATGTGCTTAATAGTCCTTTTGGGCAGCATGAAACAAACATGATTGTATGGGATTTGAACCAATGACCTCTTGATTACTTGAAACAGTGCAGACGGCCAACTCACTCTGACCACCAAGCCTTCTGGGGATCAACCGGCTGGAACAAATCTGGCACATCAGCAAGTATCGCGGTCAATTGCACCAGCAACTAATGAAGACAAGTCTGCACTGGATGTATTTCAAATCTCTTTAACCAAAAACAGTGTCATCATTTCTGACTGGTGATGTTCTTGTGGCAATTTTGATTGGTCAAGAACCAATTTTGATTGGTCAAGAACTCAGCATGATGATGAGGTACTCAAATCTTTACTTAACAGATATACTGGACAGGAAAAAGAACCAGTTTTGGCTATAATTTAAAGGCATCAGTTTTAACAGGCTATTTCTGGATAATATACATTTTATTTGAAACAGTCTGGTTGACAAGAGAAAAAAACAGGTTTTCTTTCCAAGCTCACTTTTCTATTCCCACAAAATTTCCTAAAGGGAATACAGTCAAAACCAAAATGAACACACCAGAGGCAATGCTTCTAGGAAACTTAATTTAATAACATCAGAATACTTTTGCTGATGCATAAAAATATGTGAGATATACAGAAAAGCCTTTAAAAAAATCAAGCATGTAAAACTGGTGGCTTAAGAAAAGGCACAAATTTCGTGGCAAAAATCTTTGGCACTGTTTACACATAAAAGATAGCACTGTCCCTTCTGTGGACATTTTCAGAAGTTGGCTTTGTTTGCAACGTGAAAACAAAAAAAACCTATAATAAAATCCTTTCAATAAAACAAATACAAACATTAAAACAAGAGTCATGCATAAATCTTACCAGTGTCTTTACTCTGTACATCCGTTACATGGAAGTTGCATGAACTGATTACTAGTTAACATTCAATGTAATCTTCAAATGAAACAAACTCTTCCACCTATCTCGGTGAATATGTTAAAATGAAAATAAAAAATGCAAATGGCCACTGTTGATTCTTGGTTTTTTTTCGTGGGGGGGGGAGTGGCTGTGGAAGTTATGTGATCTTCTTGGCATCCAAATAGCCAAACCTTCTCAAAGACTTTTGTAAACAAAATTACTTTTTACAGAAAAAAAAGCCAGCTTTGAACATTCGCTTCATGTTGACCCTGTTGACACATTACCGGTTTGATTAAAAAAAAACCAAAAACCAAATTAAAAACAAATTTTAAGAGGGCTTAGAATGCCCAAAGCCAGCATGTCCATCAACCTGGTGTGAGCAAATAACACTCGGAACTCGCCTCGGAGCTGCTCCCACCGTTGGGCGTGACCGGAGCTTGACACTCCCGCTCCGCCAGCTCATTCTCAATCAAGGCCTCGGCAATGTTGACATCTGATTTCCCAGTGGTGTCGTGCAGCTCCACTTCCAGGGTGCCATTGGCTGTACTGTTGGGGGGGAACAAGAAAAAACGACTGGAACAATGCCTTAACCCCTTCATACCAGGAGCCGTCCACAGCCGCGGCTTTGTGTGAGCATTAGTGCACACCACACATACAGTCTATTCACCAAGCAGCTGCTGGTTTCAATGTGGGCCTGCTGCTGGACACAGCTTTGCATACTGGGCATACCACAGCCCAGCAGTCAAAAGAATCCCAGCTTGAAGGGGTTAAGATGGTAATTCCGTTCCTTTATTAAAAAGGAATGAATTTGACCGGCTACAATTTCAGCAATGCTAATTTTTAATCAACAGAGAAGTGATTGAGAGGGCATGCCAAACTGCAGGCAAATCTATGCACGTGACCACCGTCACCACGGAAAACCAGGAATAACGGTAGAGGAACAGCACCAGCTAGTGTACCAAACAACTGGCCCTAGATGTGTTTCTGAGGCTGTGTGATTCAGGACTATAGAGGGTCATGGCAGCAGGAAAATAGTGAGTCTGAAATAAGGGCCCAATCTCATGGTGCTGCTAGGCACACAATTTTATCCTAACAGAGGCATCCATGCATTTCATCGAGACCGTAAGCAGTAGGCACGGCAAAAGGTAGGCTTGCCTTGGATGAAAAAGTTGGCAACGCGTGCACAACTGTAAGCACGACCAGGCCAAGTCCCACCATGAAGTAGTGCTTAAAGTTAGCCAATTGTCCTGCTACAGTAAGCATGACTTTTCTGCTAACCGCTAAGCAGCTACGTGACATTGGGCCCAGTTCAATACGGAGGTAGTACCAGATGGGACTGGAATTGGAAGATGGAGATGAACTTACACGTAAGTGATAAGAGCCACCAGCGTCTTGTTGGCAACCAACTCCTCAAAGCATTGTCTGAAGCAAAGAAAGCCACAACGAGAAGAAGATAATCTTACTGCCATTTCTTGTGGGTCGGGGGGAGGACCTTTCAGAGGGACAGGAAAACCCCGCACACTCATGTTACCATGCAGTGCAAAAAAAATGTCGCATTAGCTATGATTTTTATTCAACCACTTTAACTCGCTGACAGCCAATTACAAGTCTGTCCATAGCAGTGGTTGTTCTGCAGTTTGCCACTACAAGTATACTCGTGAATGAATGGATTACAAACTCCAGCAAGGCACGAGTGTGGCTTTAGAAATAAACCCTTGACATTTTAGGGAACATCATTTTTGTCACGGTTGCCTTCAATTCCTACGGCTGTTGTTTGCACTGTCAAAATAACACTATAGTGACAAGCAACAGCAGTAATGTCATTTCAACAACTGGTCTGTTTTATTTCATGTAGCTTTACGAACAAAAACCAATGCATTATAATTATTGAAAACTTGTGAGCTATTGCCAAGGCATGCATCATCCCCTAATCATCTTGTACAGGATAACTCATGGGTGGCATGGTGAAATGGTCAGCTCCATGCCAGAGCCAAGGTACCAGTTATCTCATAGTGAACTGGCCTGGATAACTCGGAGCTGGCGTGATGGAGTAGTCGACTGCATGCCAGTGCCGGGGTACCAGTTGTCTTGTGGCTGCTGTATTCAAACCTCAACAGAATTAAACATAAGCTAATAAATATGCAAGCACATGTACTTTACTCGGCAACGAGGGCGCTCTGTGAATGCATCAGCAGCAGTCGCCGTGTTAACCCCTGAGGTAAGAAACTCTCACGTACTGCATTCTACCCTCTCCTTTTTTAAATCAATAACCAGCGCACCGATTGGCAACAGACCTCTTCTGTCCCCAACCTTCCTTGGTATAAGTAGGCATCAAATTATAAACCGATGAACAGTGCATGCAGACATGTGATGCCTATGGTGCCCTCTGTAGTCTGTAGAAGGGGACCTATGAAGGCAGGTACGAATATGATATGATCTGGCCGCGTCTAAAATACTTGGCCCAGAATAATGTTGTAATGTGGTAAACAAATTCAACCATTCGCCAGCGGCTTCCACGGAGGGAAGGTACATTATCACAGCCAAGTAATTCGGTCACTGCCCGAGTCAGTCTGGTCTCAGGCCAGCTTTACCCACCTTGCTGCCTCGTGCAGTCTAGCCCCGGCCTCTGTGTTGGACGCCAGAGGCTTAGCTCCGACCAAACGACACTCGACGGCTTGTAGGGGCAGGTGCAAAAACTGCTGCTGTAACTCGTGGACCTCCGCCGCTGGCACCCATTCGGAATTGCCGTAGTCAACATAGAAAACCTGTGGAATGTTTCAAAAACAGCAGGAGGCAGAAAAACAAAAGTTAGTATCGAATCCAAGAAGGTCAAGTTGAAAATTAAGGTCAGTTCGCAAGAAACTTCTTCATTCCACCGAAAACAATCACAACTGCAAATGGAAACAACTGACTGCATTCTGACCTTAGCCAATTTCACTGTGACAGTACAGCACAGCCAGAAATTAGGAGAAGCCCCCTTTAAAACTACAAAGCATTAACCCTAATAGTCCCAAATCCTCAAATTTCAATACGATTTTACATACACCCTAGGGGGTTAGGGTTTATTAATTTCTCCTTCCCTTTCTTAGAAGAGTGTCCCCTGTTTGTTTGAGCTCAAGCTTCCCTTCAATTTCTACCACATAAGGAAGCTACATTCATGAGTAATCTTGTGACACAGAGGATTACAGGATTGGTCTCTCACAGTTTTCTAGGTTAAATATGCTTCATGACTATCTGCACTGGCTCCCGAGCCGAGAACGAATCCATCATAAGATAAGTGGTATCTCTGCAAAATCTAGTCTGGACACCAGACCCGATGATTGCGACTATTCTTGTCATATCGAGGGTTCAGTGTCACCCAATGTCGATGTGACCAAAACTGGAGAAACTCCTCCAGTCTCTGAAAACAGCCAAAATATACCAAACTTGTTTTGTCCACACTCCCATATCATTGTTAAGGTCAGGTATTTCCAGCCTCGTCTGCATGCATAAGATATAATATTTCTTCTACTTGTTATCCAAATGCAACACAAGGTTGCTCCCTACCTCTGCATTTTTGTCTGAATTTCTTGCATGTTTCAGAGTGATTGCCAAAATTAACGGCCTGCATGTACAGGATCCTTCCTGGGCTTTCCTTGTGACCCTTGACGTGTTGCGCCCTGATCTGCTTATATATATCCATGGGTGATATCTGGGAACCAGCCAATACAAAATCTGGCTCATACATGTACGCCCAGTGGGGAGGGGGAGGGGCAGAGCTAGATGAGTGAGGGAGGAAGGGCTCTGGAGTGCTCGTCAGTACCTGCACAGTGTCCAGATTAGTATTAACTTCGATGACCCTTGCCCGGTAGTAGCGGTGATCCTGAGGGGAGAGGCAGCAGACCATCTCCCCGAGAGCTCTCAGGGGAGGATTGGTGGCTTGACGGTGCTTCCAGTTGGAGTACAGCTGACTGTAAGAAGAGAGCATGCGTGTTGGAACGGGTTCGGTGCAATTTCATTTAATTTTTTTAAACTCCTGCATTGTCTAATAGTAAGTTCTTTTCATGGGACTGGACTGCAGATAGGGATCACGTGCCCATAGACCTCTATCATGGGGCAGCCATTTTGTTCCTTCTACCACTCAAAGCAATGTAACCAAACAGAGGCTGGGAGGAAAAATAGTCTGTTCCCTTTAATCATTACAGTGTATGTGAAGTTGTATTACTATTGCTAATGGGTATAAAGGGAACAAGACAAACATGGCAGCATCGTGATAAAGGTTTGTAGTAGTCAATGGTGGCTGGATGGTCTTTGTTAATCTGCATCAGGACAGTCAACCATACTCTCATCATGAAGTGAGTTACAATGATTTCCGCTGCACTCGTTCTAATTGAAAACAGCAACTTTTCTTGCAACTGACTTCATTTGGTTCACACATCTACATGTGAGTGTAATTTTACATGAACATATGTACACGCATTTGAATATGGCATTCAATGGTGGGGCATAAAAAAAGGAAAAAGGCTTGCTAGCAAATAAAGTAAAAAATGTAAAATAAATTAATATTTGAGATTGACGATATCAGAACCTGCTGCAAACTGAGTTATGACTACACTGACTGAAATATACAAATCATTAAGTTTGACGACAGCATTTAATTTTGAGAACTTTTCCAAGAGAATGATTCTGCTACGGTTGAAACGTCAGGCCCTTTATTTTTGGACTTAGATAAGTGTTTCAATGGTAGTTATTTTGTTAAATGTTTTAGATATAGTGATATTTATATCTGTACATCTCCAAAACCTACTTCATTGCATCTTCCAGCATCTCCAGCGTCTCTTCGTCGTCTATAGGGGAAGCCCCTCGCTGCTGGAGAAGGTCCAACGGTCTCGCAGAGTACGGTAATTGAGCCCAGAAATGAAACGCGCTGTGGAGCGCCGTGACCTCCAGCGCCACGATGCTGCCTGCCGGCGGAGGCCTCACCTTGTTGTCGGACAAGAAAACATCCATCGACTCGTGTGGTCTCTCGCCTGCAGCAAGAAAGAAGGGGACAACGGTTGTGACCCTCAACCAGCGGTGTGGTCCAGACCCTTTAAAGGCCATCACGGGACCATCCCAGTATAAGATGGCTAACTAAAGTCCACTGACATTATATTGTTCTCCTGAGACGATGACAGGACAAGTATGAGAAAAGAATCTGACCAAACTCTGGGGCTACAATAACGGCAAGAAGTCAAGATGTGTGATTCTGAATGAGAAACAGCCTGTGCAGTGCACGGGTAGGGTTGAGGGGTGCGAAGAATGGGGGAAGAAGGTCACTGGCGGTGGGGGGGTTGAGACCATGGCCCCTAGAGAGATTTTTTTCCGTAACTATGAAAAAAAAAGGACATTTCATTTAATTTCCTCCCCAAAGTTTGTAAAGTTCTGCAAAATGTGGCCTCATACAATGTACCTCACAGAGACCTTTAAGATCCCACATCAAACTGATAATGTCAAACCTTTTGGCCTCCCTACGAGATTTCACACCCCCCCCCAAAAAAAAAGTTGATCGTGGATCTGCCTGTGTAATGGGTGTACTGGTGCAAGGTTAAGGCAGTGGGAGAGAAGGGGTCTATAGCAGTGATAAAGCAAAGTGCATGATCAATTGAATTGGTAAGCAGTGAAGTTAACAAGAAAACAAGAGGAAAACAAGAGTCTAGTGGTGAAAGAAACCTGTAAAATGAAACATGGACCTTGCTGTCCTCCATGGATCCCCCCCTCGCATCCTGGTTACTCCACATGCATGCTCACAGTTGAGAATTGATTGATTGAATGCACTTGGCATTCAAATATTGAGCAAATGAAGGAAGTGTCAAGCCATTTGGGCACACAATGGATAACCATGGATACCCTTGGCAACTAAACAAATACAAATTCCTGAACAAGGGTGTGGATGATTTTAAAGAGTTCTTGCCAGAAGGTCCTCAGCCAACCAGTAGCAAAACTGTTTTTGTTTTGGGGTCATTTAAAATTTGGATCAGAAATGACGGACAATCAGCTCTGACAATTACAAAGACATCAGGAGAGGGGAAACAAATATCAATGAAACTCTTATGTCTGCTCATAAAATAAACAGGCATTCTTCACGAGTAAGCCATATTTGAATTGAAAGTGAGATGAACTCTCCTTTTCATTCCACCAACCAAAGGCCATTTTTCTTCATTTAAACTACCAAAGAGTTCATCTTTGATCACTCCATTTTATCAAATCCTCAGCTAAGGTTGAAACCGTACAAAAATTATCCGTTCAAATGTCATGTGACGCGATGACTGCCAAAAAGCTGCACTGAACACTGGAGCCGATGGAAAAAACAAATGCAAAGTAAATTTCCAACAGCAAAATGCCAGGTTAGTCGAGCATGCATGCGTCGGTGGGACATTATGAGATTCGCCTTCTTAGGTGACAGGGTGAAGCCAATGGAATGGTGGAAATTTAAAAATAGAGAAGCAGCAGAAAGAAACATGCTGGCGAGGGAGTTCTGATGATCCGAAGCGTGGTCAGAGAGCTCATCTCATAATGCCCCCCTGGGGTTGGACTGCTGGACACGTTACCTGCTGGCACTACGGGCAGTGGTGACCTTTTCTTGGAGGACCAATTGCTTGGACGAGGACTGGCATTTCTCCACTAAAGCACAATGGGGGTAAAAGGGCTATCAGGGTAGGGGAGGTTGGTGGCAAAGGGTCTGGGCTCAAACTTTCTTCTGGAATCCAGCCCTGCAATTCAGGTCTTCTATTGAGTTGTGTGTTCTGCAGGCTAAAACTTGCAGGGGAGTCGTACACCTTGGACTTGAATGACTACATGAACTTTGACCCACCCCCCCTGCTTAATTTATGTCGCACTTTTTTGTCCACTCGACATTTGACAATGATACTGAGGACTGAAACTGACTCATAACATGTACTGCCTGGAACTGAGTTTTGCAACTTTAAATGGTACCACATTGTACGAGCCACGCTGTCACCCTTTTCCCTCAAATTTCTTATGAGCAATACAAATGTGCATGAAAATCTTCTCAAAGGAAAGAAAAGGACAAGAGCTTCTCAGTAGGCCTGTGCCAGGTACCAGCCCGTTGATATCAAAACCCATTCCATTTTTTAGGCTGGGTACCTGTGACAAAAAAATTCCAAGTGAAAAAAAAGTACAAAATGTACGTGAACTTTAACAGTGAAGGGCAGAATTGCTGTAAAAATCATTGTGCCAAAGAAAAAACCAGTCCTGCGGTTATAACTCTGGTTCAGAGATTGACAGAGCTACGTTACAAAGTGAAGGTAACAATTTCATGTTAATGTAATGAAACAGTGGAGGAGATTCTCCTCTAATGCTTACAACAATGTGCTGCTTCCTACATGTGTGTATGAAAACAGCGCGCTGTTCCAGGAATTCCACGTGCAACGCCATTTGATAAGTGTTCTTTGTATCTTTAGGGTACCCAGGTACCAAGTATTGACATAAAAACGAATATCCGGTTCCCAATATACCCGTGAACGCACACCCCTACTTTTCAGGAGTTCTTCACATAAAACACAACAGCCTCGGCAACACTCCCATCACTAAAACCTGACCTTTGGTTTTACTCAGAAGATGGATAAAAAGTCTCAGATGAGTCTAACACCTGGACTTGACTGAATTAATCACTGAAATTCAGTACAGCATGAGCATCAAGACTATTGTTTATAGACGGTTATGCTCCACACTGAGTTGAAAAGATTTTGTCAGTAGAGAGATTACAAACTACTTTGCATCCCAATCAACACTGCATCGGTGTCAAGAGCAATTATGAGTTGATATTATCATTTGACACAACTCTTTGATATTTTCTCTTTATTTCGTACGGGAGGGTAAACAATAAATATTCAAAGCCTGTCACTTTTGAGGCTCGCCCTTCAAGTTCCTTCTTCATTTCTGGGACAACAGAAACAAACAAAGCAAAGTAGATGTTGTGCAGCAGGATGTAGAGTTAGTTGGAAGATAGTTTCATAACCAGACCCAGTATTTGTGAGGTGGGTGCAGCCACGGTTGATAACAGCTAATACACAGCCTATTCAGAGAACACGACCTTGGTCACACGAGACAGGAAAGGATATCGCCACGCCCCAACAGGTTAAGAGGCCAGGAATGCAATCAGCCAGCAATTTGTTTCAATTCGTCTGACACGTAAAGTACCTATCTGATGCATCAGTACATGTGAACAGTGCATGGCATTTTGTGATATATGTTTCACTAGCATCAGATTTCAACTGTGTTTTCCAAGCATGCCACCAGCTGGACAATCTCTCACATGGGCATCTTTTCAAACGAATATCCATCCTCCTTTTCTTATTACTTCCCAATCATTTTTCACAAAAGGGTGTGACATCAAAAAGTGATGAGACATTTTATTTGAGAACTTCCCACATGCAAAGTAGAAACGTTCAGCAGTAAATACAACAAGAAGGCTGAACCGGCCTCTGGTTTGTGCTTTTGGCATTGTTCCTTTTTTGCAAAAGACAAGTCTGTACAAAGTTGGTGGCTCTGAGCTAAAAGTTGATATTACAAAAATGACCATTACTTCAAATGTGAAAACTAGCACATATGACTTTTAACACCAAGTTTGATGCACAAATACAGCAAATGTTAGAGTGAAAATCAAACTAAAAAAGTGAGAAAGGATTTCAGCTAAGTTACGGCTATGATTTTTGCACTACCCGTTTTATAAATCAGACAGTTAGCAGTAGCGTCATTTACATACCAACTCTTAAAAAATAAAAAATGGAATGTCTTGAGGTGCCCATTTAACCAGTCCTCATAACTATGCGACTCTTTACAAGACAAACATGTAGATGACACTAATGCACATTTTGGTGACTGTGACCACTAATCTGTGAAGTCATGCTTGCTTGTACATGTACACTGTTTCAAGCATGAATAATTTAACATTAGTACATGGGTCATTCCATGAGGTTGGGGCACAATCTGTGACAGTGTCAATTGTTACATGGGTTCCGTAAAAATGAACAGCTATTTCCCGACGTGTGGATTCCCAACTGACATTGTTATACATCTTGCAAGGCTGAATACAGAGGGGTGTGTTATTCTTACAGAGTAAATGACCTACTCTACAGGTCATGACAGGTGGTAAAAGTTACCCATGGATGTAAAACAAGGACACCATCACAAATTGTGCCCCAACCTCATGGAATGACCCACATACATCACGTCATTGCTTTTTTAATCGCCACAGGAATAACAGCACACACACAATGAATGCTTATGAGCGCAAGAATACAATGAGGTGACAGATTGCACATTCTGTTCCAAGACTCGGACCCGAGTGGAGTAAAGCATTCAATCTGTCACTGAATGAAATAATTCTTTCACAAGCACAGATGTGAGACATTCATTTTCTGTCTTGTACAACACCTGCATAAATAATTTGAAACCTTTGCGCACGTTGTTGCTGCTTTGTCAGTCCAAAGTAAAAATGCAAATGAAGTTTTCCGTTCCGACTGATTCATACTCAAAAAGACATTCCTTTGTGTATCACACCATGCTCATTTGACAATCTATTTAGTTTCTTTTTCTTCAAAGCGTAATCATTACTGACGAGTTTGGTAAATTTCTATCTGACAGAAGATAAAAATCGGCATGTCGCACATATTGGTAATGCGCAACATTTTATGTTCACATGAAGAGACGTCAATACGCTAACTGCGTGCACATGTGCATTGCGTCACTCTTTCTACTTGTCAAGAGCACTGACTGTGCTAACTACGCACGTATGCAGTCCAACTGTATAATCAATGGGTATAACCGACAGTCCATCATTAATTATACCGATTATGATGAACGGCATGTGATCAGCGACCAACCAATCAGACGACAAGGATTTAGTCGGGTGTTGAACGATATATAACCCGGCACACCATCCATTCATCATTGGGATGCACTTTAAATTGCATGTGTCACTGGGACGCAATGACACACACAGCTTATGCACACAGGTTGTTTGTAAGCAGCTCATTTTGTGAGCGTGGCATGAGTGGTCGACAAATTTCAGGTAACTGTTTCCCCCACTCACCTCGTCTGACGTGGTCGAAGGGACACTGCTTGCCGCGATAACACACCCTGCCTGTTGAATAGAACTTGCACACCTGACGGATCGATTCGACGTCTGTACAAGGGCAAAAATGAACATGCTCAAGACTGGATCCAACAAAACGAGTCTTTTGGGAGGGTTATCCCTCCCTTGTTTTCATTCATAGAAAGAACACACTGAAGTCCTCATTTTCATCTATCAGTTCGGTATCCCAACAAGGGACCCTCTGCACTGTTGAGCTGAAAGAGAGGCTGCACTAGCAAGACTCGCTTACTCTAATGGATTCTTGGTGGAAGATCTATCAAAAGACACAGAAGTGGCATTTTGTTGTTTCTGCACATACTGCCTCACTTTTGCTTTAATACGGTGAGAAGCGAAGAATGAGAACCTTGGTAAATGTAATAAAATGCAACGCAAGGCACCAAAATGATAGAACCCGCAACGAAAAGCAACAAAAGAACCCACAACGAAAAGCAACAAAATGCTTTGTGCTACGGACTTTGTTGCACTACACAGTCCACTAAATCAGCACCAGCCTTGGTTTATGCACATCAACATATATGAATCCACCACTTTGTCAAATCCAGCAATACACAACCCCTTTTAACCATTGTTGGACTTTGTTGTAATCCAGAGGACAGGCTATTCCAAAGATAGGCATAACACTGTCAGCCCCTACGGAACCTTGACAAGCTACTCCCAAGACACGATGAGGCTTGGAGGCAGACACAACGCTGGGTTTTGGAACTTAAAAGTTTCCAAAGTTCATTGAAAGACCGACTTACTATGTCCCCCAGTCGCCACATCCGGGTTGTCTGTGTCAATGTGGTAGCTGTTGTGGGCAGACTGGAAGTCCGACAGCAGCGGATCCCACTGACCTGTTGGCACGACCTGACTATTGCCCTCTGCCTGACCCTCCACTGACTGCTCAGGCACGGGGTCATAGCCGCCCTCTGCATATTTTTTGAGTGACCAGCATTCCGAGGCCATGAGAAGCTGGCGATCGGTGACTTCGGCTGGTTTGCTGGTGTCTGCCAAAGGGAATCCAATCAGAATGGAGTTATTGTTATGGGTTTTTATGACTTACATGTGATGTGTAACGACGTATTTAAATGCGTAGGGTCACCTGTGCATTTGGGATATACGGCTACATACATCTATGCACAGTTTAGGACAATCTACAAATTCTATCTATTGAGAACTTACAGTAAACAGCAACCACCAGTGCTGTTGGATAGGGCAGAGGGTTTGAGCAAATACTGCAAATAACGGGCTTTTAAAGTTACTAAAAGGTGAAAGCAAGAGGTTGAGTGTTGAGTCTAAACTGAGAAGGCTTGTCCATTCTTTCTCATGGAACTCTTTTCTCAGGGAACTGTTCTTGGATGGCCAAAACCCAACGTTCATCTCTGGGGGTTTCTTGCTGTACAGGCAATATGCCGGCGACATTTGAGATGGAGTCAGAAAATCCTGGCTCCGGCTAGCAAGAACGCTTGCCCCTGAACAAGCCCGCTGGCTAGCGGCTCTTTCCACTTCCAGCAAGACAATGTGCTGCTGTTGGCAGCGGCCAAGACTTTGGGAGGCAGGCCGGAATGTCCATTTGAGGTGAAAAGTCCTGTCTAGATTCCTACCTTCTGGTGGAGGCTGCGGCACAAATCTGGAAGAGGAGGCCAGTCCGAGATTGACCAGCTCCTGGTTGATGCAGATCTCCCAGAGGCTGGAGGGATCTAACAAGATCAACTGCACTGGCTCGTCGCTGGGGGAAAAAAATGAATAAAAATCAACAAACCTGGAAGATAGTTGGAACTTCTTCACGCCAAGAACCTACCTGAACCCTTTGATATCCTCAACAGAGCAGGACGATATGGCAGACCAATGTGAAGGCCAGCTCATACTTGAGGTAAATGTAAAAGTGAAACAAATTTGGTATCAGGAAACATTAATCTTTGGAGTGAAATTCACTTGAGATGTCCATGTTTGATTTTGCCTTTAGGGTAATAATAATGTGATAATTGCACACTCTTCCTTTTCATAGCAAAACGGTCAGTCGATGTGCTCATTCAACCTAGACTCTGTCACATTCTTCCAAATCTACCTGAGCGTTTTGAAGTATTTTGCAGGATTGAGGAAGTTAGAGCCCAGCCATCATTACTTTCCATGGAGCCAAACTTAACAAGTCCAGAGCCATTCATTCACTGGGCTGCTACGTGCTTTTATACAGCAATCCGGAGTCATGCCCCATTCAGTTTGAAGAGAGACAGGGCTGTGAGCAAAGTGAGGCAATACGCATTTGAAGATGTCCATGTCAGCCTGGTGCATGGATAGTAGAGACAGCACACAAGTATGCAGAGACAGGGTTCTAGCCAGGACGAAAATTAAAGGATGGGGCACCTAACCGACATGGCGGAGAGGGTTGACTGGACATTATTTGACACCCAAGGGCACTGTTCAACACTTTACTGTTTTATCATTTTCAGCATGACAGCTGTGATTGAAGTCCCCATCATCCCATGCAGTCATTCATAATATGAATGACAATATTATTGCTAACAATACCAATACAGTGCATGCTGTAACTCCATAGTGAATTGTATTCATGTGTACGTACATGTGTATGTGCATTCACCACTTGTGCTGTGTTGTGGAATTTTGGTTCATTTCCACCGAACTTGGCCAATACTCTGTATTGGTCACTGTTTGTCCATGATCTTCAAAGAAATTTGTCAATTCTCTGACTGCAATGTTTCTTAAGCTTGAGGCAAACTATTAGCAACTGGAAGGCTATTGATTGCATATTTGGGGATTGAAAGTACCCCGATCAAAGCCCTGGATTTTCTGTGACAAAAATGTCCTCGGTTTATATTTGCCGGGCCCCTGAATTTTGAGTGGAGTTGCTCACTTGTGAAGGTCATAATCCCCTGTGATTCTGCCAAGCAGGAACTTGTCATAGCCGGTCATCTTGGCCAACTCCTCGGCAATGTTGTCAGGCCATACCTCTGCCTCTCCATCACGACTCTGAGTGTTTCCTGTGGAGTTCAGTGGTTGGTAAGGAAACCAAAATCACGGTAATTGCCTATTCCTTTTCCAGTATAGAGAGGTCTTCTGATCCAAGGCCGGAGAGCCATCAAGAAGATAGAGCCAAAAAGAAATTAGACATGAGAAAAAAAACACAAGAACTACACGTTACAAACAAATCTCTCTGCGATAAGTGGCAAACTAGAAAATTGAAATAAAGGCCGTGAGCTCCTACGGGCACAGAATTCCTGCATGAAAATGATCCAATGGAACTGGCTTTTAAAGTACATGTAACAACTACAAAAAGAGCTGTTTCCATTTTTTGACGGCAGCAACTTGCCAAATTTCAAGTACTGGATCAGCAGGCTCTAGAACAGTTTCACATCCGCACTGCTCGAAACACACTTGGAAACTTTGAAGGATTATGTAGGATTGAGGAAGGAACGTGGAGCTCAGCCACTAGTTACATAAGCCTAATACAGTTCACTGAAAGTTTAAAGTACAAAGAATGAGCCATTGATGAGCATGCATAATGAAGGATTTTTGAGGATTCGGGAAGGACCCTGACAGGAAGTTACAGTTAAAGTTGACTCTCCGTTATCCTCACCTTCTGACTTTGCAGCATCAATCTCCCAGCTGTCCACCTTTGTCGGGGGCTCAATGTGCGCCAGGCTACACTTGATTGCCTGCTGTGGCAGCTCGTAAAACGCAGGCCTCAATGGCCTGAGCATGTCCGCTGCCAACCACTCCTTGTTCCCAAAGTCTATGTATAGGACTTTGACCATCAGGTTGCTCTTGGCATCTTTGGGACACTCTGTACCAGCCTTCTCTTCCCCGATGTGGAGGATTTTGGCCCGGTACCACATCCCATCTTCGATGAACTTGGCTGCGCAGAGGGCACCTTGTTCCAGGATGGGCTCTTCTGTCCAGGCTCCCTCTTCACTGTTGTACCACTCATTGAGATCTCGGGCCAAGACATCCAGCATGTAAGCTTTGGGGGTGATGAGGTGGACGTAGAACTCTAGCGGGCTGACGATGTGAGACATTTCCAGCTTCAGGCAGCCGTCCTGCACCGGGAGACCATTCCACTGACCAAGCTGGGGATGGAGAGTCAATGGTGACTTAGCGCCATCCCGTTTCTTGGTTTTCATGCATCTGCTCATGGTGCTACTGGAACTGGAGTGCGAAGAGGCTCGGGAGTCTGTCTTTCCGTACTGCGCCAAGGAACTGTCTGACTGGAATGTGTCCAGATCTGTAACAGCTGTAACGAAAGAGCTGACACTCGAGGAGAGGTTCCTTGAAGAAGCACTCAGGGGCTTGTTCAGGCTTTCCTCACTGACTGGCCGTGCTTGGTCCATTTGTTTGATAGAGTCGTCTGTCTTGAAGTCACAGTTCTGAGGGCCCGACTCTTCTGCATGTATGCCAAGGATGTCCTTGACGTCACTTTCTATCACATCTTTTCTGCTCTCCTCCCAGCATCTGCCCCTGTGAGGTTTATCTGTGTTATGGCTATCGCACTGGGTCGCATCCCTCTGGGTGCTGCTAGTATTGCTTTGCCCTGAATGGCAGCTGGAGACGCCACTGGAGGAGTTGGGGCTGATTCTGCCAGGCCCGCTTTCCTCTGGGGAGCTACTGCGCTCCTCCTGGGAAGCATCTTTCTGTCCTGCCACTCTCTGACTCTCCTCATCGACTGCCTTCTCTGAGCAGCGCTGCTTAGTGGATCCAGAGTCCCCAATGACTGGTTCCTTTGATTTCGGAGGATGTGCTGGCCCCCCTCTGGTGCCAGAGTCCAGATGTCTCTTTTCCAGCTGAAACTGTTGTTGCTCTGTCTTCCGGGGGTTGTGGGGAGGTGCTGCGGCTTGTCTGGAACTGTTTATCCTGCTTCCTCGTCCGGTCCAGGATCCCTGCCTCTTGGGAGGGTCAGGCTGGCCTCTGTTGGGCGGACTTCCCCTCTTCAGGCACGGGGGTGATGCCTTTGCAGTAGGGACCTCACTGGGCTTGCTCTTCGGGCACGGTGTCGCCTGCTTCGGGACATCTCTGTTGCCCTGACGTCTGCAGAGCTGTTCGGTCCGGCTGGTGGACTGGGTGTTGGAGTGCTGCACTTGCCTCCATGACAAGCTGGACTGGTGCCTCGATCTTGGAAAGGGGTTGCTCTTGTCCTCTTCGTACTCAAAGTACCCGGGGGGAACGTCTTCTGTTTGCGCATTTGCTTGGTGGGAGGTTGACTCGTTGGCTTTCTGCTCCTGTGGCATCTGGTTCTGCTGTTTCTGGTTACTTCCTTGAGCACCCTTTACTGCAGAACTACACAAGCTCTTGTCGTCCCCGGACCTTTCCAGCTGAGAGGTCCCACTCGAGGAGGCATGCTGACCTGATTCTTTAACACTCATTTTGGTCCCTCCGCCCTTGCCTTCGGAAGATCGATCCCCTGCAGTACCTACATATGTAATGATCAAGATGGAACAGGTAGAAAATTTGCTGTTTTTTTGTGGCATATGACCATGAAAGGACTTTCCTGGCGTCATACCTTGAGAAGCCCCTCAGATTTTTAACGTTCCACAGACCAATCCTTCAGAGACTGGCATGTGTGTAAACACTAGTTATGAGGCTTTGGGATAAATCAGAGAGATTAAATTTGTCTGGTGAAAGCTTTGTTGATTCATCGCTCAGAATCTCATGCTGTCTGCTCGTACATCTTTATTCCATTGTCTAGTATGCAGCCTAGATATCTACAGACAGTGTTCCCACCATAGTAAACACAAGCGTGCATTAGGTCAGCCACAACACCCGACTGGTCTAGGAGGAATGCCACGTGCATTTACCACCTGCTAACAAGCCAAGTGCAACCACAGTAATGGCGTTTAATTCTGGTTGCCGAATTGGTTCATAATTTCAAGTAAGCATGTTTGAAACCGACTGCGAAAGATGGAAACGGAAGAAAAAAAAAATCACTGTTCTGTGTACATTCAGCTGAAAATTGGTCGAGGGTAAATCCATTTAGTCCTGCTGTTACTGACCTGATTGAAATAGGTCAATCTCACGCAGAACTGAGGGGGGTTACTAAAAAAAGTGAAAATAATACGTAGAACAGCCTTAATTGCACTTTCATGCTGTGCAACTTCTTTCCATTTATGAATTACATTGCATAATAAGGTTGGCAACAATGTAGCCCCATAACCACCTTTGAGTAGAATTACTTTCATGCATACTGAGAGTACTTAGAACCGGTGGTGCAGGTCACTCACTGTTATCTGCATGTTCCCATGTAGGATCCCCCCTTTTTTGGTTTACCTGTTGACGGTAGGGTCTTTCCCTCCGGCGGCTGAGGTGGCTGAAGGGGGACATCTGGGGGACCGCAGCCAGCCACGTACAGGGCCATTTCACTCCGGACCATGACCTCTGCAACATCCACCTGTCGCGAATCAGATCAACGGTGAAAGCTGTACAAACCAGCTCAGACAAAAATATCAATTTGGGCAAAATGTGGCACATTATTTGTATCAATTTTGGATAAAAGCTGAATCTTGTGGCATCAGATTCCCCAAGTTTTAAACTACTTTTAAAAAAGTCATCATTTCTCACTTTGATTTTGGAAATTTCATATGAAGTTTTACGGGCTATGAAATCCACGTCAATGAAATCTTTATAAAATTTGTCAATTTACGACAAAGTTCAAAATGTGTGACATCATGGTCGCGTTGCTTACGTGACAATTGTAAACATTTGCACAATATGCAGAATTCAGTGGTTAACCGTGGTGATCAAGCAAACTAGTTAGATATGCAACACAGTAACATCCCCACGTGTGTCTGCTGTTTTCCAATGGGAAGCCGGCATTTGTTCAAGAATATGAATGTTTACGCCAATGGTCAAATTTACATCAAAATGCCAACACCCTCATTAATGCAAGATGCTCAACCCTTTAATACAAGCATGTCTGATGAAGACAAAACCCGTTGAGAAAAACCCGTTCTCACCCACTTGACAATAATGGATACTATCTTTGTAAACAGCGAAGTAGGTTCAGGCCTAAAATATTTCTTGAGCCACCAGGGTAGGCCTGTCATACTTTTGGACAGAAAAAAAAAACCCCAAACAATACTGTCCTCCTTCTACAAAACCTCAAATCTGTCAGAGCCCCACACCTGAATGATATGGCTGTCACCAGAGGGCGTCTTACAGGTCACCATTGGAACAGACATATCCAGTGAGGGTACGTTGCGGCCCTTCGTCAGGTTGATGGCGGCCTGGACCTTCTTGCCCAAGACCAGCGTCTTGAAAAAGTCGGTCTGGTTCTTGCCCCAGGCGCTCCTTGGGACCGGGGGCTTGACCTGTAAGAAGAAGATCGAGTTCAGGTGACCTGTTCTTGACGGGGGTTTCTTGTTCTCACACTCAAAAAGTTGGGAACATGACCAAAGGACACTGTTCTCGGCATTCCAGCGGCTGGCCCTCGATTAACAAATCGAGCAGTTCATGAACATACAGGAACACGTCGCACAAACTTAGCCAAAGATTACAGAGACAAACGAACAGTACAGCAATATTTTCACTGGAAATGGAGGTTGTTAACCCCTTTGCTACGGAGGACTGCTACTACAGCACCTTTGTGTGAGCATTAGTGGATACCACGCATACAGTCTATTCACCATGCAGCTGCTGGTTCAATGGGGCCTGCTGCTGGACAAAGCCCTCCATTCAGGGCATGCCACAGCCCAGCAGTCTTTAGGATGTCTAAGCGTTAAGGGTTTCTTAAATGCACATTTGTAGAACTGTTTGCTCTTTTTTTCCAATGTATGAAAACAATTTCACATCTGTCAGAGTTTGGCTGTAATGTCAATAAAAATAATAAGAATGGAATGACATCATGGGACCTGTCTGTTTCACGATCAGTGATTCTAACACTGGTTCGCACCATCCACTCTGCAGGTTTTGGTGTCCGTAAAGTAATGATGGATTGCTGATTGCGATTCAAATCTGTGTGAAACAAACACAGCCGCAAGTATCACTCATAAATGTATAAATTCCTATAGGCACAAAAACCACCAAAGTACCAAAAAAGTTTTTAAAATAAAACAAAAATTGAATATAAGGTGCATTTTACAGATTGTTATTTATTTAAAAATGCACTGCATAGACCCTTTAAAATGTTGGATCATGAAAACAATAAATACCGTTACATTTTTTAACAAGAAGGGCTCCATGGTTCTGAGTGGCTAGTCAATGGAGACAAATGTGCGGGCATCAAGTCATGCGAAGGCGCAGTTGGGCAGACCACCTATCTTGCGGCGTGCATGCTCAATAGAGCAACATTTACGCTGGTATAGGCCATGTCCGCAAACATTCACTGTTGCATGCTGGTAATGGGTTATACGGACTGCTTACCAAGCATCCTACCTCAGACGTGGTGTTCAGAATACGCTTACTAAAGATGGCGGAGGGCAGGTAAGCAGATTACATTCTGACCTGTGTCTTTAAGACAGACATCTGGTAAATACTGAGGGAAGGGAGAACCTGTCTACCCGGGTAGTAAGCAGATCTGGTCACCATTTTGTTGTTGTTTCTGATGATAACTGGTACCCTATCGTTCAACAGAAAGTACTGGACCTGCAGTATCGACGTTCCCTTCGTGGCATGTATGTAACTCTGTTGAGCATGCCCCTACATGTAGATCTCTGCCTGGTCATCAGGGGCTTGTCACTGAAAGTCTTCAGAGGCTGAGGCAGGGAGCAAGCTTCTATGGAAAAAGGCTCATCCTTGAACCCACGGAGGAGGATGGATTGGGAGGGCAGTGACAGGGAGCGACAACCCACAATTGGCATGGGGCTTGCTCCAGAGTCCTGGCAGTGGCCAGTGCCCCGTACAATAATTATCGGTTGGGCCAGCACCGCTCTATTCTTAAAGCTCATGCAAAGATTACAACAAGAGTTTATGTAGCAGCCAAACACACAAAAAAACAACCAAAATAAAAAACACCAGCCAGAGTGTAAAGTATCCTGCTTAGGAACACACCTTGGCCAATGAGCAACAGACAGCCTGTGCTGGCAGCTGAGTGAAGGCAGGGTCCAAGACACGCACCCTGGACAGACTGAGCCTCTCGCAGTTGCCGTAGTCCACATAAATGACGTCGACGACGATGCCTGCCAGATCGTCCAGGTCAGGTGGTTGACCTGACCTCTGACCTCGCACTCCTGAAGAAGAAAATGCCTAATGTATTAAGTGCCATCGATGACCATCATTTCACTTTCAGAACACATTATGAACATTTCCCGCAAATCTGCATATTAATTTCAGCAGAAAGCTACACGGAAAACATAAATTTTATCAAATGTAAAATTTTTAAGCTTGCAGGACTATTTAGACCTCCAAATGAACGAAGAAGCACCCATGGGATTCTTCTAGCCATGCAAACACTTTCCCCTTCCCCTGGCACTGCCCATTTTGGGGATTGACAAATCCAGTGAGGTTATTACAGCTACGTTAACAACAGGTAAACAACAGGGGACTCTGTGACGACGACACTCACCTATGATGCGAGCGCGGTACCACTGGTCGTCCTCAGTGAAACGTGCGCAGCAGAAGGTGCGCATTTCGGGAGCCGGGATAGGCAGGTCCTGGTGATCGTGGTAAAACCGGCTGCAGGAAAATTGCAGAGATGAAAATGTATTATCTGTATACACTATCAAGTGAAATTCTCAGACACCCGACAGAGTGGTTAACCAAGGGCACCTGACTATTATACTTCCCTAAAATGAAAGTTTCATAAAGCATAACTACACTTCAATGTGCAAAGCAGCCAAACGACTGAATTCTGGTGCTAGAAGTTTTGGACTGAAGGATGGTCACATGTAGCTCTACAAAATACCAAAACACATTTAAACACAAACATCAAGGACAATGCGGCCAGACATTAATAGTATTTCTATGATTTGAGTAATGAATGGAAAAATTGACAATAAGAACAGAAGAATCTGAAATCTGTGATCTGTCACAAAAACAGAGCTTGTCTGAATGTCAGACTTTCAGCTCATTTTGTATTAGATGGGTTAGACTGGTTTTTCTTTTCTGGACAGCAATCCACTTTGTATAACTTTGCCTGATTACCTCAACAAGTGGCAGAAAAGAACAAATTAGTTCAGTGGATCTTACTTTAATTTCTGTGCAAAGATGTCCAATTGTGAATCGGCCAGCTGAATCCAGAAGATTGCTGGACTATTGACCTCGCTGACTATCATTTCCACTTGAGGGCTGGCCTTCACCGCCATTGGCCTGATGACCGCAGTCTGTTTCTTCGTGGTGATGTGGCAATGAAGGGGGACAGATTGCTGGCTGCCTGTCTGCGGGTGGGAGGGCTGCGTGGAGGCCGGCTGCTCAGGCGGACGGGGAGTCTGCTCAGTGTTTGAGGGAACTTTCTGCAGTTCTGGCCCTGTGGCCGAGTCGCCTGCCTTGTTTGGCCCTGTTCTACTCTCCGTGCCTGCTGAAGCGCACTCCTGCGAGTGGAATCCGAGGGGCACTCTGGTCTCCTCCCGTTCTGCATACCGTTGGCTGTCCTGAACGTCCTGCTGCATCTGCTGCTGATGGTCCGGCTTATGACCAGCCACCCTCTGTCCTTCTTGGACAGAGGTGACCGAGGGTTTCCCACTCGCACTTCCCCTGTCTTCCACACTTTCACTAGGGCAGTGCGCCTCAGCCTTCCCTTTGGGATCTGCCGGCCTGTGCCGCTTGTCTGTGGGCGACTTCTTGTTGCTCAGTAACCCCCGGGATCTGCTGCTAATTGATCCACGTGAAGAAGCCGTCATGGTGCTGACATCGCTGAACACTGAGGTGCTGTCATCGTTGGTGCCAGGGATGGAATCCAACTGAGAATCTACGCTAGAACTAGAATCGCTGTCATCATGGTCTGTAGACAGAAAGTGCGATGAGGATATATGAATATTGAGGGCACCCTGAGAGAAGCTGCTGCTTTATACTGTGTCTGACTTTACACGTATTTAAATTACGGGGTTTCGCCCTTATCCAACGTATCTGTGTAACTTTTTAATATTGGAGAGACATGAGACCGGGTACATAAAACCTGCTTACAAAAATTAGCATGTGTAGTCTCAAAAGAAATGTATCTAATGAGGGCCTCAAAGCATGAAGTTAGAAATGCAATTACATAGTCGGCATAAACACAACCACCACACGTGGCATCCTGTTTGTAATGCGTTATGAGCGTGCTTTGTGTACTACGTTGAGCCTACACTTGCTGGTGTACGTTCCAGTAAAAACCACATAAACACAGCCTCGTACCCAGTATGTACAAGTATGGGCAACATGGATGTGAAACGTTTCCTACAACCGGGAACAAGGATGAGGTTGTGACCTTTGTCGTGTCTTCACATGTTGGTACAGCTGTTATGGGCGTTTTACAGTTTGGAATCCAAGGAAATCAGAGTCAATCCACTGCTATTGCACGATGTTTCTTCATTAGAAGCCCAGTATAAGAACTTACAGACACCACATCACCATTCTGTTCTGTTTATTTGGCAAACTTTGTGTTTACAGACCGATTTTTGGACGCTGACATATGTAACGATGTGCGAAAGCTGGTCGGCGTCCTGTTTTTACTAAAAATCATTTTTCTCATCAAGCGGCTTGCCTCTCTCCACCCAGGGGTATAAAAGGGCACCAGCAGTAGCTGGGGAGGCAACCTGTGATGGACTGGCATACCATCCAGGGGGAAGAAAAAATATTCTTGGTCGTTTCATGCCAAGAAACCGGAGATAAACACTAGCCTGATGAGCCAAAGTGGCTCAGACCAGACTTGCTGGGTACCACATACACAAGAATGTGGTTGCCGTTTTTACCATGTAATATCCAACTATCCTTGCAAGTACCAGTCAGCATCTTGACACCAAGGTTTATAGAGCACTGAACTGCTGAAGTGCGACGTCGTGTAGAACCAACATATGCCGTAAGAATGAATGGTTCAAGTGCTGATTCTCGCGCTAAATGAACTTTACACACATATCTGTGCGTGTGACGTATTCACTTTGGTACTGTAGAGTACCTGGTTTCAAGTTCACATCTTCAACTGTTTTGAAGATACTGAATGATGTATTCATTCTTCAACATTTAAAATCCAGTCAAACTTTGATCATTCATTGACACAGAGGTAAAAGGTCAGATGACTTTGACGAGCCCTACCCCGACAAATTTATTTCCTGACTCAAGATCCTTGAGATCCCAAGATGTGAACTCCATACCTGAATCACTTTGTAGAGACAGCTGAATAGTTTGGTCATTTTGACACCACAGCGGCATGTAATTATTTCGCACCTGACATCATAATGACGTCATACTCAAATACACATTTGAGTTCATCGAGTTTAAATACGGTACACCATCTTGGAGAAAAGCCACGGACGATTATCGTCCAGAAGAAAAAGGAAGGACAAACCACTACAAACCCAATAGGTGACCGGGCAGTGCTTGATTACCCAAAAGATAACTTCACGACCAACCGTCCCCCCCCCTCCCCGGCAAGGAGTTTCTCTTACCATTAGTAGATGACTTGAGGTTTATGGTAAGTTGCATCAGTGTGCGTAGGTTGGCCTCCAAGGCTGAGTTGACTTGGACGTAATGCTTCCAAAACTTCTTCCGGTCAGTTTCCTCAAGGAGTTTTCTTGCTTCAGTGACATTCTTGATTGATAAAGAACGAATTAAACAATCCACTTTTTTCCTTCTACAGTTAAGAAAAAGCAAATTACAAGTATTCGGGGCTTCAGGGTCTGCAGTTGAAAACTGTGAGACAACTTTTTTTTTCACTGGAAAAAAGGGGGGTGGCAGAAATAAGTCAATAGGAAAATCTCACACTTCAGCTTAGCCACGGCTATATGGCTTAAAAAATGTTGAAACGATGTCCGGAACCAAGACACAGAGCTGCCAGAATAAAGTCACGTTGTCACCTTATACTTCTACCCTTAAGTGTTCCATGTACACACCTCTGGAAAGCTCTCTTTCTGCTGAATTAAAAAAATACCAATATCTCAAGTTTGAAAATACCGACTTTCAGCTCATTTTGTACTGACAGGTCACAGATGTGATTTGAGGGCTTGCATGGTCGACATAGCAACGAGATAAAACTTTGCGGCAGCACCATGTGAATCTCTTTTAAGGGTCAGTGAGGCTCCTGAAAAGCATCGATGGATTGGATATCTCAGAGAGTGCTCTCTCTTCGTCCTGACGATGCACTATGCCCGTCGGGTATTTTGTTACTGTAGGGCTTTGCCTCTTGGAAACATTAAACTGGCTCATCGGTACAAATAGACTAATGTCACATACAATGCGAATCTGTGCGTAAAATGATTCATTTGCAAGTCACAAACTTTCCAGCGTTATAAGAACATTCATAAATACCTTAGGCAGTTTCCCTATTTAACAACACGCAGTGTGGCTGTGTATTAACAGTTGATAATCCCGCTGCAATTTGATAATGCCCGCTGCATGAATATGCGACGGCAGCTGTATACCAGACAGTTTAATCGATACCTATTGGTCAAGAGTCTTGTGTGCACCACAACTCCCACAACTCACCACACATCAGCCAAGTCCATGTAAGGTGATTCTTCTGGACTACTTGCGCAAGGACTATACCATAAAATGGACGGGGTGTTTGCGAAATGAAGGTAAATTTCTTAAACACAATCCTTGGAAATTTGTCGTATATTGACTTCTTTTGACTCTCTGAAAGAATACTCATGAATGGGAATAAATTTGTGAATGGTCAGTCTAAAATGTAAGTTTAAGACTGACCAAGCACTTATTTATTCTCCGCAGAATGAACACTGATAATGCCCTTGCCTGCGGCTCAGGCGTTAGTCGCGTCCATTCTCATGAGCCAGTCTCAAAAGCATGTTTAAGGCCTGCCAAGCACACCTTTATTCCCTTTTAGTAATCTATCTTCACTCCTACAACCCATTCATCATACCCCTGCTGAGATGTCCTTGATGCTGGTGAACAACCACTGTTCTTGCTCTTCAATGCGGTTGATCTTCTCAAGGATGATGCTCTTGTCCAACTGCATGAGCTTGCGCTTGGAAGAGGCCATTTTGTTGCTGTGGCCGACATACGGTCTGCAAAGAGAAAAACAAAATAAGTAATCTTCACAAGTCTTGAAACTACACCAAAGGGAACATGAGTAGTAATCACAGCTGAACTTAGAAACTGTCCGTCGCTACAGAACAGGTTCATAGTCATTAAGGCTACATGTGCATCCAAAGGTGTCTTCCAAAACCTTTGCACTTTTTTTTTCAGGTTCAGTTGAAGGGGTTGATTTTTATCTGGTTGTTTCTGTAAATATACTCCCGTTCTTTTTGTACTTTGTTTTGAAACTTAGAAGTTTGTGTCATTGGTTTCTGTTAATTCAGTTCATAGGAATTCTTCCCTCAGTTCCCTTCAAAGATCTTTAGTTACTTACAGTGTACATGTAGCTGGCATTTTTTTTGGTAGTGCGAGTTCCACCACATGACATGCCATTTTTCCAGGTTACATACGTGAGCCAAACTGTACACCCAACTCGTATGCAGTTTAGTCAGATCTTGCACGTTTACTTGTACATGAACAATCTGGTATGAGAACCATCTCATACACAAGCCAACTCACACATGATCACATCACTATCCAACCCGCAAACAGTTCAAGCGGTGCACGAGCATTTGCACAAAATGAGACCTCCATGATGGTGGTCAAAGCCTACATAAAGTACACATGTCCTTTCCCTCCAAATCCACAAATGCCTTTATTCCATAACATAAATCAAACTGCCCCACCCCTGTTTTGATGCCTTACACTGTATTGATCATCTAGGTCTGCTCTTTTGACATCACAGTCGTGTTTTTCCTACAAGCTGACAAGTGGCTGCTAAAAATATAGTTGGTCGTACAAACTTAAAAAGAATAATTCAGTGCTAAAAATCCCATGCAGCTATCATTAACACCAGATAATATAACCTATAGGCCTACTACTAAAATACAGGCCTGGGGCTAGGCCTAGGAAACCCCATTTAAAATTAATGCCATGGGACAATTGTGAATGAATCAAAAACCACCTGAAGGTGATATTTCTGCAATACGTTTCTCAATTCTGATATTTCTGACCGCCCATACAAGTTGTAGGCAAAATGAGAATGGTATATTAGTATATACATGTGTACACATGTACATGTACTCGTTCTAGCAAACAATGTAGGCCTCCGGCCAGGTATGTGATGTACATGTACGTAGAGCCTACGTACACGTACAGTACTATGATGTAGGCCTACATGATGTATACTCTTACATTGCACCCTCCGCTACAACGACAGGATGAGCCTCGCAGTCAACGACTTGCCCAGGATGGTTCCATTAGAATTAGAACATGTCATCAGGCGCAACTAGTCCGAATTCAAACTTGCTGCCTACTTGGTCATGCTGACCACTCAACATTCGAGGAAACGCGTATCCATCCAAGAATTCTGCGGACTTACTCGAGGCCGAATACGACGGGCAGTAAACCTGCAACCCTACATTATGAGCACATGTGCTGCTCGCAGACTAGACCAACGTACCGCGTCCAATTGACGGTGCAAGAAAGAACAACAGAGGGCGCTCGATAAAATATGAGGGTACTTGTACCCCGTCTGGTGTGTGAGGGTACCGCGGTACGGTGCCGGTGCAGCATTAGCTGGCCGTGCAGTGTACAGTCTGACAACTGACAGCGTAGTTTGGTTCGCTTAGTACATGTAAGTTACATGTAGTTTGGCAAGCCAGATTCCCGAACTGGATAAATTTCCACCGGACAGATTTAGACGATGGCGGGATCCAGGATGAACAAGCGACTGTTCCTCATAATGCTGATCTTTGTTTTCTTCTGCTGCATCGGATGGCTGCGTCTCATCTTCATTATGACCTCCTACGACCTGGCGCCCCGGCTGGTACCTGTGTCACAGCTTGTGGCCTTCTCAACACGGGTAGAGCACAACCATGTAAGCATTAAGCAAGTGCAGGGTCGTATCATTGTCAGAATAGGCCTGGCTCTAGTCTAGGCCTACATTTTTGCTTCACTAAATTTTACACTTCGGAATGAGTTCCATACATGGATATCACTTGACACTGTGCACATGATGTACCCTAGGGAAGGGTTCCCATAAACCGGACGCCAGTAATTATTTCCTAAAGTGACCTAGGCCTTGGCCTGTAATAGAAAAGTTCAATTTATGAAGGAAAAACCAAGTCATTTGCATAGAAAATACATTTTTCCAGACCAGTCTCATAGGGTTTGTGCACAGGGTGTCGAGTGGCGACCGTATATGGAACTCTTTCCCTACCCTATATCAAGAAATCCTGAGACTGAGTGTGTTTTCTAAAAGTAAGTTCAAAGTTGGACCTAAAACTTCAATTTTCCCTACTCTTTACCAGCCAGATCCCTGTATGCATGAAATGTGCCCCTGCGGTATTTCTAGGTACATTCTACCAAGACCCGGTCTGTGCAAGCTTGAAGTATTCAACTTTGTTTAACCATGGAGGAATAAGCGGTTTAACACTCGTTTTTAACACTTGACAATCTTATATCCCTTGTTTGGCTACAGTGGGCAGATCTACTTGACTTTGTATCACCTCCAGCTCTTGCCTTTCTGAAAAGCCACAGTAGTTCTTTTTTTTTTTTCATTTAGGATTGGTACCACAATGTTTGCTTCAAGGGAATCGAGCACGAACTCTCAATATCGACGCTGGATGACTTTGTTGAGAAGTGGGCAGTCACTTACACCAACACAGACTGCAGGTAATGCCAAACATTGAACAGTATCCCTCTCCTAGAGATAAAGAGAACTCGTGTTAGCTGAATTGTTTTCTTGTACTGTGTTTTGTAATGTATGTAGGCTTCCGAGTGTTATGAGACATGTACTGACCATTTACAGAATGTGCCTTGAAACTTTCTCCCTAAAAGTACTAATGAATACTAGGAGGTTATAGTTTGAGCAAGGAGAAAAAGTCTTTATTTAGTTACCTTCCAGTTAATTAGATGACTCCCTTAAAAAGAAGTTTTGGACTTATAATAGGACCCATTTGAAGATCCATATGGGCAAGTACTGTAGTGCCTCCCCCCGGACAACTTTTTGTGAAATATAATGACAAAAAGGCATTCTTTCTCTCCTTCCCAAAGTGTTCCAAACTAAACTTTGGTTCTTGACTCACCTTTGATTAGACTTCGTTTGAACCAATAGACACAAAACGTTTTTTTCGTATTGCAGTGATGCTTAACATCAAAATTCATGAAACTTGAAACCTAAACCAAGTTTAAGTCAAGTTTGTTTTGTTCAGTTTGTCTGTTTTTTAAACAGGCTGATCTGAAAATGCATCTAAACCTAATAACTTAGCCACTCTGTTAATTGTTAGGGCCTGTTAAATCGGAAGCGTTGTAACATACCTGTACATGTATGGGGGTTCCTGATTAACTGAGAGTGAATAGATCGTTTGTGCCGATGCATGTCTGCTCTTGCAAATTTATGACTTCACCTGTTTTTTTTTCTTTCTGCATTAGCAACATGTACAACACGTTCTCCGGTATTTACGATGTGAATCGTCGATCTGGTCAGCTGATCATACCAGAAACCTTCCAGACCAAGCTTCTCAAGTGGCTGGGAAACGACGAAGAACTTCTCAAGGAGGCAAAACTTCAGGTGCAGAAAAAAATTTGGAGGAAATGCTCGCTTGAAATGTTGAATCATGATCTCACTGGCAGGAGTCTATTTATTATAGACCATCTTTATACCATCTGCTGTGGTCCCCTGATAGATTTGAAGTTTGGCACAGATTACCAATGGACATAGTGAAGTGCTTTCAACTGGCAATTCCATTAAGGGTCCATTTATGCAGACAAATGGTAACGGCAATCAAATAAATTGGTATGATGCTGCATACACACGAGGTGAAAACCTGTTCCGTAGGCAACGCCTTACAATGACACCCTGCAGTAAGGCACCTGCACCGGTCGGTCTGTCTATGGAGCCACCTGTGAAGCCGGATGGTTGGCCAGCATGCACTGTCCCAGCATGGGATCTTTGAACAATCGTTTGGGTTTCTGCTCAGGGTGATATATCATCCTCCTGTGTGGTTTGTCCGCTTGAAGTCCCATACAAAACCACTGTATTTACCTTGGGGACTTCTGTAACTGCTGGTCTGTGCAGGGACAATAGGTTTGGCCGACACGTTGAGGGCGCACTGCAGGGAAGATGACGATCGAAGGGTTCACTTGATAGTAGACCCAATTTCTCTCCATTTCAACAGTGAGGGTGCACTTTTATTCTGAGCCTGTGGGCCATTGTACAATGTTGCACTCCCTGTGGAATAAGACTGGCTCAGTTGGAATTTGTATCTTGTGTTCCACTCACAGTTTATAACGTCCGTTTACAACAAGTACACGCACGAGCATACCCTTCTGAATCCGTTCAGAGCCAAGCGACCGATGGAAGGTGGTGAAGACATGGATGAATACCTGGCAGACCTAGTGAAGAAAACCGAGAAGAACTGCGATTTCTGCGACTACAAATAGGTCAAAGGAATTTCCTTACACAATGACTTTTTGGGACCAGTCCTTACATGACACCCGTCACATGTCACGGGGTGAGCAATGACAAAGGAATACTTTCGTAACAGTTCATTACAAAAAAGTTGTGACTAGGCTTACGACTGCATGACATGTGTTTGACTTGTGATGGACTCACAGGGACTTCTGATGGACTAAACCACAATACTATTTAAAACGTGAATTAACGTGCATGCTTTTACCTCCATCTTTTCATGTGTAGTTATGGCAACAGTTCCACGAAACTCTTCCCAGGGAACTGTTAAGTACACTTACTGTAATTGATTTGAGCAAGGATCCTCTTATACATTGCTAGTGAACAGCCAAAATAGCAACTAGTAGGTGATGATGAATGGACCAATGAGAATTCGGCTGTGGATCATGAATATGTACAAGGCATGGTAATAGGTCCTGTTCACATTCAATGTGAATCGTTCTTATTAGCTTGGAATGGTGCAGAGCCTTTGGCTTGAAGATGCCAAACATCAACAACTGCCCAGTCAATGTGCGAAAAGAGCACTGTTTCGTGAACGAATGTGTCTTTGGCCCCAGAGTGCACCACAAAAAATGTTGTTTCATTTTAGCCTAGTAATAGCTCACTGTACACGTAGGTTTTGTCCGAATTGACTGGCTACAGCTTGCAGTAATGGACAGTTGAATTTTGTTAATAAGAGGTCCTTCGGACTTGGTAAATTACCTTGTTATAATAGGAACCTTGTGTTATCAGGAATGAAAACAAAAGATTGGGACCTGAAGATTTCCTTGCTGTAAGCAGAATCTTTTGTTAACAGTGCTGTTATTACCGAGGTTCGACTGTGTATAGGAAGCATCCGCAGCCCCTCAGTAGCTTTGAATTCACTTCATTCAGATAAATTAGATCTCCCAGCCCAAGGGGTTACTATTGAATTTGAGAGTTGTGTTTGTTTTCTTGTTTGGTTTGTTTGTTTGTGTGTTATCAGTAAAACAGCAGAGGACACATTTGGCAGGATTGAGTCAGATCTCAGTGCCACGGCAGCCAACACCTTTAAGATGGACGGCTTCCACACCCTTGTTATCCTGAAGAACCATGACCCGAGAATCTTGAGCGAGGAGCAATTTCTTGATGCTATGCACGTCTCAATGAAATGGTGAGATGCGACGTGAACAGTGTCTGTGTTTATACAATACCCTCTCTCATCCCAAATACACGTAATTCAAAATCAAATATTGTGCACCAAATCCACGGAAAGTTATCTTTATTTTTTAGTGAAGTAAGTGATTCTTGACGTCCTTTGCCATGTCCTTCCCCTGGTGTATAAAATTACTAGAGCCGTAACCTCCTCTGCAAAGTGAAGCCTGCTTAACACAGCAATATCTGCTCACAAAACCATGGAAAACTCAATGGCTTGATGCACTTACTTCCATTTGTGTAAAAAAATACATGTATGTGTCGCCGTCAAATATGATAACCAAAGACCAGAAGTGCACAGTAAATAACCATTTTTATTTTTTTTGTGTTCAATAATGCAGTCCCGTCAGAGCTGCTAGTTAATTTTACTGAGGCTTTTCAATTGTTCATACTCCTACAAAACGCACTCAATACGTCGTTTATGTATATTGTATTTGTGCATGACATTGTTTTGAACTCATTCCGTCTCATTTCATGACGCCCAACAAACGTGCACGTGTCTGCATCCAGGATGGCTTGAAAAGTGTCACAGTATGGAGAAGTGAGAAGTTTGCCTTTGAGTAATTTATGTTATGGAGCAGTACGTGTGTAAGCCTCTTGATTGCATCGTGACCAATGAAGCGCAAACTATGCTTTGATGACCAAGTCAACCTCTCTTTGCCATAGTGTGTGTGCAGAACTCCCGAATGGCCCTGGTTGAGCGGGCCATTGTTAACGGGCCATGGGTTGCATTTCTCACCACAGTCTGGTTCCAAGTCCCCGTTTTGCACCGTTACTTTCCTGTCAATGGACTTCATTACAAAGAGTCTGTCGAGTGTCTGTGTGCAGCTGTACCTGTGGGTCTAGTTCCTAATAGTCAACTTGTGTTTTCCAACCATTCTGTGTTGCTGTGAAGTTCACTGAATTATGGTGAACTATAAATACACAAACCTAATTTATTTGTTACAATATTTTTTTTAAACTAAAGTGATTGACAGGGTGCCTGAGATTTCCATTTTTCCCCTCTTATAATGATTGGACCAGGTTCATGAAGGTGTATGACACTGACAAGCAGTATCGCTACCCACACATGATTTGGGACAATCTACCCAAGGCCAGCTGTAGTCAGGTCCATCCCCACGCCCAAATCATGCTCAGTCCAGTCAGGCACTACGGTATGTAGCGGCAAGACAAAATCTTTAAGTAGGCTTGCACACCCACAGCGTTTGCTTGGCAACAGATGTAGTTACACAGACTGTATATAGTGTTAGTTTGAACACGCTATTGTACAGAGAGACAAAAAACTTGCCCGTAAAATATCGCTTGGGTATGAAAATCAGCTCTGCGGTGTTGAGACCCCTTGAGACGGTCACGATACCATCACCAGACAAATGAAGACCTCCAGTCTGAATTCAAGTCACTAACTCTTCCTGAACTGCAACAAAGGCATTTCATTATCATTGGCTACCCTGTTACTTGTGACTGGTCTTGTAACTGGTCTTGTGATGTGGTCTTGTGACTGGTCTTGTGAATGGTCTTTTGACTGGTCTTGTGACTGGTCTTGTGATTGGTCTTGTGAGTGGTCTTGTGAATGGTCTTGTGACTGGTCTTTTGACTGGTCTTGTGATTGGGCTCGTGAGTGGTCTTGTGACTGGTCTTGTGACTGGTCTTTTGACTGGTCTTGTGATTGGTCTTGTGAGTGGTCTTGTGATTGGGCTCGTGAGTGGTCTTGTGACTGGTCTTGTGACTGGTCTTTTGACTGGTCTTGTGACTGGTCTTGTGATTTGTCTTGTGACCGGCCTTGTAATGGTCTCAACTACAGCACTGGTAAAACTCATGCAATCCAAGCTACACGTGATGGTACAATCAGCCAGTTGTTTGTTGACACCAGCTTGACACAATTCATCATACATATGCTTGCTGATGGGTGTGCCTATATAGAGAGTTAACTTGGCCATGGATCAAACTTTGTGGCAGATGGAATTGTCAGCAGAATTCAGTTTTTTAATTGTACTGGCCTTTATGGTTTTTACCTCCAAAACAGGTGGCATAGAACATTTCAGGTTAGCAGCAATGAAGTACGGCAGGGAAAATCAAGGACGAAACTATTTTACGGATCTTATGAAGGTGAGAATGATAGCTTGCCCTTTGATTTATGCCCTGCGCAAGCCATTGGTTTCTGAAAGAGGTTCTATTGTGCATTCTTGGCATTTCATTTTGTGTTGGTGTGAATCTCTCAACCCCTGGTGCTTTATTGTTTGAAAAATGTGCGTATCCCATGAATGGACATTCGTGAAAGCATTTTTTACACGGAAACAGATAAATTCGCTTCAATATATTTCTCATGATGATTTCATGCTCTGGAAATCATTTTGTAATCTGAGAAAAAAATTATTTCACATGGGCAAAATCACTCCATGCACTCAATTAAGGGCAAGGTTGGGCACCAACTATGGTTAGCTATTGTTCGACTAACATCACCCAAACGAGGAACGGTTTGGACTGTCAAGTCCGCCATTTGGAACCAGACCGCGTGGCATGGCCTCACCGCTGGGTACTTATAGCTGATTTAATTTCTCAGTATAGAGGGAACCAGTTGCATGAAAATAACCCTATGAGATGTCATAGACTATGACTATAGAATGACGATGAGATTTTTACAAAATAATATGACTAGGGCCATTTCAGTTTGTATTGGGCATGCACATTGTTGGAAAGCAGTTGACAAGTTGTTAAAGTGTAGTTTGTGCCCAACCTTGCCCTACTAAACGTGATATCATTTTGAGCATTTGATATGCCCAAAGTGCACAAAATGATTGCTGAAAAATGTTGGTTCCGTTGGAATGGCCCTCTGTGGATGTTCAGTCATGCGTGACTTCCTGACCTATGTCTCTTTCCCAGGCCCACAATGCATTGGGGCTGACGGTCAGTTTGGGCAACGCCACTGCCCTGGCCTATCTCACCCCAAGAAAAGATAACGATGTCATGATACTCAGCAAGACACCGTGTCAAGATTTCTTCAGGTAATCTTGCTAGCCAAGGATTTGCCCCACTCCCCTCCTCTGACCACATATCGTGGCTGAGCACTGATGAGTGTTATTGATGAGTCCGCAAGTTTCACTGTGATCGCAATGGAGCATTTTGTGTTTTTGCTTGTTAGTATTCCAAGTTTGCATTTCCATGAGAACAGGTCTCCCAAGTGTTGCAAACGTGTGATCAAAGTGTATCCAAGACATCAATTCTCTCACTGAATTTTGTTTATCCTCGTTGAAAAAATGTCATCTTTAAAAATGAATTTTGAAAGTCAATAAAAAAAATAATTACATCCAATAAAATGTTTGCCGAGTCTGAAAAGCTTGGTGCTTTGTGAAAGTGTTTGCCCGCCAGCATTCAACATTGGGTATCTTGCCTTGAGTAGAAGCACCCCCTTATCAGTTGACAAGAGCCATATTGGTCGGGAGTGTTCATCTCTCTGGTCGTGACGTGACCTTAACTCGTCAATATCATAGTCGTTTGTGAACCAGTGAAGTGCAGTTCCGACCAAAGGAGCCTCCGTTGCTAGGAAAATTGTACCCTCTCTTGGTCCAGTTCAGGGCTCATACATGCATTACAAAACATTCAATATAAAATTGAATGATGTTTGGTTTGATATGTCTTTTCTTCTTGATAATGGATCTGTCATCATGGGGGGGGCACCTGGAATATACAAAAGGGGGGGTTACCCCAAACAAAGGAGAGTATTTCTCCCACAAAGGGGGCAATGCAGGGTGAGTTCTCCTCTTCATCTCTTTCTGGCCTAATGATTTTGGTGTAGAGATTTGTGTTACATGAGCTGCTCTTCCCTTGGGTTTGATAAAGACCCAGTGTTTTTCTTATATTTGTTGCAGGTTAGTGTATTTTACGCTCAGGGCTTTCATGGATCGCAAAATGTACGCATGGAGCATGGCAATATTTTTACCCAAATTGGTAAGTGCATGTGCGTGCCGCAGTGCTGGAAAACACAAATCCAGTGGAAAATGAATGGAAATTCCGACTCTGTTTTCCAAGAGCATTTGGGTATAATTGGAACACTTCTCGAATATGCTTGAATTATTTTCCTGCCGTTATTTGAAAAAAAATTGAGTGCACTAATTGAGCATGTCCTTTTGTTTGAGCCATTATTCACCGAGGTTTTGCATCAGTTAGACTCTGTTTTCACCTAATTTGTTGATTCATACAGGAACCATGGAGCACACCAGATTATGATGACATACCAGCAATTGCTAGAATCGTCACACGAGGTGCCCCTTCAAGCACCAGGTCAGACATCGGGGCCATGGAACTTTTTTCGGTAAGTTGACCAAACTAAGCAAGAAAGTTCTGCAGATGGAGGGAGTTTTGTGTCGGAGCACAAGAAAAGAAAAGGGCAAGATAAGTTCATTTCTGCAATGGAAGGAACTTGTATCCTCGGGGATGAGCACCCTACTCACCATTGAACGGTAGAAAGGGACAAGTTCAAGCCTTGGTCAGTGTACATTTGGAGTGTTTTTCTCCTTAAAACTTTTTCTGTAACAAAACTCTGAGAGTGTGAAATCTTCAATACATTTTGTAAACATACCTTTGCGCATGTATCATGCAAGGTCCTCGTTCTCTAACTTGGTTTACACCTAATCATTGTAGTATTTGGCAGTGAAATTGGTACCCTGCTACAACGCTGGCATTGGTGTCATGAACCCTCCTGAACAGACTTATTGTGATCATGAAAGGATGAAAAGTTTCTTGTTCCTCATAAACACATTTAGCCTGTTTTCAGTGAGGGCCTCCTGAAACTCTGTGGTCCTGATTTTCTGCCGTCCCCTTCCTTTGTAATAAAATGAACATGCAGATAAACAATGTCAATCTGGATCCGTTTGTGGTGGTCAAGACTTTGAAGGCTGCGGTTGATAGCCTGGGCCATCCACACAGCCCCTTGCAGGACGCCCAGGCCCAGAGACAGGAAATCCAGCAGCAGATTCTGGAGCTGCAGCAGAAGCAGATGGAAATCGACAAGCAGGTGCTGCAACAGCAACACCAGGCGCCCGCCGGCCAGCAACAGGAGGGGCAACCCCAGCAGGTTCAACCGCTTCAGCCGCAGCTGTTACGGCAGGAGGGTGGGGAGGGGGTGGAGATTCAGGTCGCCAATGCCGGGGCGGCACCAGACGACCAAGGGGTCAACGGACAGGAGGAGGGTAACAAAGTCGCAGGCCACTTATGAGATTGCCGCGAGAAAACAGTTGCAGCAGCAGGTTTGAAAGAATCTACTTTTGGTCTTGTGCCACTTGGGTGCTGTGACAAGGTGTCAAGATAAGAGTACCACGATGTGGGTGCCATGACATGGGCGCCCTGAAAAGAATGCCATGACATGGGTGCCACCATGATGTGGGTGCCATGACTGGGGTACCACTACATGGGTGCCAAGACTTGGGTGCCCTGATGTAGGCACCAAGCCTGGGTACCAGAACATGGGCACCATGACTCTAGTGCCAAGACATAGTTGGCAAGACTTGGGTGCTCTGACCGCGGTGCCATGGCTTGGGTACCATGACTTGCATGCCATGATGTGGGTACCATGACATGGGTGCTTTGTGATGGGTATCATGTGTGATGGGTACCATGCCATGGGTGCTGTGTGTGCCATGATATGACTGGGTGATTGTAAACAAAATTTCAGCAAGCAGGACTCGCATGAATTGTCACCAACAAAGGTGTTCAATGCTTTGAACATGTTCAAAGGAAAACAAAGAAATAGAAAAAGATTCTGCATCTTTAACCGGTAAATCTTAATTTTCAGTTAATTTGTGTGGATCAGGATGTCGGAAAATTTCGTGTTGTTTTATTTCCAGTTGATGGCCCGTAATTGAGAGTGTACTGACTACTCCAATTAGATGCCATAACTGTGGTGGCAATGCACATTCTTCAGCTTGACACGTGCGTGCATTTGGCAAATCACAACACTCTATTGGATGAAAAGGCATGTAACGTGCGTGTACCACCCGTCAGGCATTGCGCCACTGCAGTTTTGAATTGTTTCTGATTCTGGCTGCCGAATGACACTATAGTGTTACAATTATTATATTCTTCAGTGGACACTTTTGTCAAGCCTACTCTAGGCTTGAGGTCCCCAGCCCATAAATTATATGAGGATTCAGGACTGTTCTGTTATCAGTGAAATATAATAGAGTATTGTGGAATCTTTTGCCTAGTCGTGAATTTTCCTTAACAAAGTGGTGAGATCAAAATTCACCAAAATATGAATAAAGTGTACAAAGTACTATCTATGAATGCTAGATCATTTTACAGAGGTCTTCCCTAATTTTAGACAATAGTGGCTCTTGTTCGCCATTAAAATACAAGTTTCTCCAAGATTTCGGACTAAAAGGTTGCATATAATAAATGAAACCACAAAAATGCAGTCGCAAATTGAGTGATTAGTTCCTCCGAAATAAATTCTGAGAATGGGGTAGACGGGCACTGAAGTTTTCTGCAAAACATGTTGGAATGCATTTGGACGCATACTTTGGTCAAGAAGTAGAAATCTCTTTCCAAACACCAGACTGGAGACATTCACAAGTTGGGGCAAGGAGAACTGCATACTTCAGTCTCATTTGGGAATGGAAAGTCACACATTCAACCGATTCTATTCAAAATGTCGTTCAAACAAGCACTAAAGACACAAAAAACACGGATCTTTAATCGCCAAAACCAAATCTTGTTTTTATTCGTCTTTAATTATAAGTCAGTTGTAGCTTTTACATACACCTGCGCACACATGCTTTTAACACCACCTCGGCTATGAATTCACAGACGATATTTCATGTGTGTTCTTTAAAGAGGTTCATTCAAACCTAAATAATGCATAGCTAAGGCAGTCATTACATGAGAACACAACAGGGCAGAAATGGAGACACCATAGAGCTTGATGACTTGGCTGTTAATTTTGGTGTCTGAAAGTGATATCAATTTCCAATGTGAACTGTTCTGAAAGATATTTAAAAAAAACAATCGAGTACATTGGGACTATGCAGTACAAAGCATACTTACTATCATATATGGCAGAGTGAATCCACAATTGTCTATGCCAACAAAAATTAGTGTGTGTACAGTATAATTGAGTTTTGTGTGGTTTGACCCCTTCCAACACAATTAGTTGGATATGAACGAGTCAACATTATTTGGAATATATCAAATGTGAACATGAGTACGTGTATATCAAATGTCAAACCTGATCAGTGTGTGGACTGTTTCAGGCAGTCCAACCTCAACCTCGCAAACACTGTTGACCATATGAGTTATCACACAAGTGCAAGTGGAACACGGAATAGAGTTGTTGCATCCGTGTCCCATATACTGCAAGTGCGATAACAAATTTATCTTCAAGCAAACTTGATGCGCAGTTAAAATAGAATATGCAAAATGTACACGAAAATAAATTAAAAGACAAAAGCAAACGTGCATGACAAAATTACACAGGCAAGGCCTCCACATGTACCACAATTCCGCGATTTCATTCACTGATGGGTACCAGAATGATTTAAACATGTGACAATCAGCATGGGGCACAAACACGCCGTCTTTGAATTAACAATGAATTTTGCAGCCGTGTGTTTTGCTTAACCAGTTCATGTCGGATTTTCTTACCAGAAAAAGCTGCTGGGGTGGGTTTTTCCCCACAATTTCTTCAAAATTGCAAGTTAATTATGATGTCCATAAATATGTCGGGAGGCACAGCTCTTGAGTTTAGGCATCAGTATTTCCATTCTTCCCCGTTTTTTTTAACTGCCCTGGTAAAAATTCTGGTGCGCCCTCAATTTTATGGTGTGAGCTCCCCAATTCAGTTTTTTGATTACTAAAGAAAGGCGTTTGTGTTTTATTATTGGTTGGTGGTGGGTCCACTGAGTAGCAGCGCCTACGTCTAATCATCTTCAGTGCTTTGATCCAACCAAGCCCGTGTTACGACGTCAACCACATAAATGAAAAAGAATTCTTAAATGAAAGTACATGTCCTCCGTGGAACAAATAAGGCAAACTGTCTGTGTATACATGTCATCCGGCTTCAAGTGGTGAAGCAAAAAAAACAGCGCAATGCGCGAAGAACAGCGCAATGCCCGGAGTGCGATATGAACCATACAATAATGTGTCACATTGTTGGCTGCTATGGATCAACAACCAGAATCAAGGATTCAAGTTTATTTGAAGATAATCTCAAATGACCCACGATGAGTGTCACTGTGTACAGACACCTTGGGACAACCGAATTTACTTTTTAAAGCAAATGTTATAATATTCACTTCACAGAGATGAAAGTCTTTTCTGCAAAACAAGTTTTCCCACATAGCAATTGGTAACTCTTCCCAAAAATAATCAGCACTTGCATCTTCCACTCTGCCAAAGGTATTCAGGGCTGCACTTTGTTTTAGAAAGAAAAATATCAGTCTTACATATGCATATTTATAAAGTGGCTCTTTTTTTTACCACATATAATTTATATTCATGCATGTAACGAACAAATTTGTCTGGTAATAATCACTACTTATAAACCACCAACATCCGATACAAAATGAACAACTGTGCAGTACGCATGCCTAAGTCTATCTCTAATGTACCCCATATTTGAAAGTAAAATATAACCACAATCTACAAAACCCAATGTTCATTCAGTCCATTACCATGCCATAAATAATGTTGATTGTTGAAAATATCAACTTTTACAAAAGACTAGTACCCTTTGCCCAGTGCACCTAGTATGGACAAGTTATGTACAAACACCACCGTAACCCTGAATCGTGCGTTGGTATAGTGAAGAAAATAAATTAAGCAAATGGAATGGTAGGAAAATCCAGCCAAAATGCCGAGCACAAAAAATTTAATATAAAGAGATCGCTTCCAAAGACACGGCTAAAATACTCAATAAGCATTTTGGTTGAATTGAATAGAAAAACTACAGTACATCTTTATGCTGAAATTAAAAATTACAATCTCATGTATATAGACTGCAGAATGCGTGTGAATAACTAAAAAGGATAAATCTTTAATTACACTCAACGTAGATTACTACAAATCCGTCTGACCCATTGAACAAGCAGAGTACGGGTGGCTGCGAACTACAACATATGGGTTGCAAATAAAGGGCAGGAATTGTCACAGTACATGACTTAATAAAGGCTTTATTTCACATATAAATCAATACACAGTTTACACTGTAAAATATTGAATACGTGTAAGAACTGAATATATTAGCTGAATATCACCCAATTATGTTACAGTACTGATATAATTGAGAAATAACTATAGTGTGCTTTTGCCTATACATATATGTAACCCTTCATTATATTAGGAATTCATGTCCACCAATGAACTTGAAGAGAAGACACTGTCCTAGCTAAGATTACCCTGCAAACCGTCATCCAAACTAAGGGTGTTTTTTTGCAGGCTGAAAGCGTCTTTCAATACTTGGCGAACACAAAATATGCATACAATTATTCAATTTAATCAGTGTTACTTATATTGACTTGGACAGTCTTAAGCTTAACTGAAGACCATACACGAGATACTAAGTTCATAAAACTCCAGGATATTTGAAGCACCCCATTAATTGTTCAGCAGCTTCAATGATGTTACAAACTATACCCTCGATGCAAAAAATTCACGTCAAATTTGATAATACAGGGTCATGTGCCCTTTAGCGTACCCTGACAAATTATTTCAGATGTAAACTAGCCACGTATTTGTTAATGAAACCGACAATTGGATCCCCTCCGTACAACTTGAAAGAAAACCTGTTTGTTTCTCATTACCCTAAATCTGGCAGAATTTCACACCCCTAAAGTGCAATGAATAAAATTTGTCTCCACCCAGTTTGCAGGGCACAGTGTGGGGTTGGAGGGAATTTCGGAAGCCCAGGAGCTAAAATGCGCAGGGGATTGGGGCGGAAGATTGATGACTTTGCATTTCACCTCTCAGTCATGTCAGTACGGTCATTTCAGAAAAAAATCTTGTAAATGCGATACTGATCATGCTACCATGCATATGGCTGCGTTGAGGTCAATAAACAAGATCGGAAAATGAGCACACTGATGGGTTTGATGTAGCCTAAAGCTATCAATCTGAATAAATTTGAGATTATCAATCCCGTTTCAATTGTCTTTCCCACAATACCCAGGAGTAATATGCCGCAGGTGTCAAGATCCCACAACTCGAACATTATGGTGGTGTGGGCACATGTACACAAAAGGTGCATGGAACCTTCCAGTGGACTGTGTCCATGGTCAAGCCCTGCATGTGGTTTATGCATGGCAGAAATTAACATGCACGTATCCATGCTTGGAAATACATGTACAGTGCGATATGCATTACTTCACTGGACATCATGGGTAGAAACTGAACAGCCTTATATCCCCCCCAAAAAAAGGAAAAAAAAAGTGAGTTTATGTTTCTTAAACAAGCATATCACCTTGACCAGGGATTCAATATGAAATAAAGTAATATTGGAAAGTGACACGGTTTATACAAACTTGCACCACATGGAAGAATCGAGCAGCTTGTCCTCTCTGTTTTTTTTTTTTATACAAAATTCTGAGCACTTCCGAGGGGCATGCAGGAATGTTGGGCTCAGATTTTTGAGAGGGGCTTGGCTGGTTTCATCTCCAATACTTCTGGTGCCACGCCCATGTCCCCTTCATCGAGGAGGAAACCCTGGGGGGGGGGAAAAAACAGGAGAAAAACATTCCAATTGATTGGTATTTCAATCATGTAGGAAGTACGAGGAAAAGCCAATCACAAGCAGGAACACTATAGACTAATCCGAGGAGACACCATTACTACAGTAGCATCAAACGTGCGTGTGCCCTTCATGTCATTTTATTTTTGTCATTTTTTGTCATTTTATTTTCTTCAATTTTTTTTTTCATTTGACCCGGGCAGTATTTTCAAGTTTTCAATGAAGTGTTCCCCCCAGGGGATCCCGAGGGAGAAGACAATGCGGATATGCTCCGTTTATAACGAGGTAGGAGGGAAACCCAGATAAACATTATGGGGCGAAAACCCACTCTACTCGTTGGCCTGGGCAGGATTTGAACCCCGCGTCACAGAGGTGGAAGGGGGAGGAAAGTGCCAGTGCACCCACCGCAGTCCCCTGAGGCACGCTTGGCAAGTCGCGACACCCTTTTGGCCAAACGAGGCATTTGGAGTGAATTTAACAGCGATTTGTGACAGCGACACCACCGCAGTAATGGTTTTTTTTATTCTGCTCATCAGCTTAGCCTACGGTCTCATATGCAGATGAGTACATGTACTCCATACAGCAAAAGTGACACGTAACACCTGCGCATGCATACAGCATGGAACATTTCTCCAAAAAAAAAAAAAGTCCACAACACGGGGATATGTCCCTTTAATAACTCTCTTACAACACCATCCACAGCAAAGCATCCTACCAAGCCGATCTTTTCTTTGCATAGCAAATGTGCAGGGTTTCATCCAACTCTATCAAAGTGTTAGCAGTAAGAACGCCCCTCACTGGAACACCGCTACAAAATGTGTCAATGTAAGGTTGACAGTTTCATGCATGAACACGACGCCTCATGCAAACTGTAAAAACCCAGAGAACAAGTAGGCAGGTGAATTGGAGGGGAGGGGTCTCGGGGTGAAGAAGGGGACTGGATGAGGATCAAACACAAGGAATGAGTTAGGGGAAAGGTTAGGGTAACATTTTAGGGGCGGTGAAGCGGGTAATTACAATGACAATACAAACCTCCTTGAGGCTGCTTATTTGAACATTCCCAGGTTCCCATCCAAAAAGTCTGTATTTCGATAGAATTTACCCCACAAATGATCAGATTAAACTGCCAGCATTTTAGACACCGTATTTTATGGAGGATGATTTTTTTAATAAATGGAAACACTTGAAATAATATTTTTTGGGAACAAAATATCCATTTTGCCCCCTCCCCCTGACCTGGGTATGCCTATACAAAGCTTTCAAGCAACCAAAAGGGGGCTATAACTGCGTAACTTCAAAAGGGAGAAAGAAAAGAAAAAAAAACCCTCACAAAAAGAAAATAAGATGCAGGGACACAAAAACCCCAAATGAGAAAATGCTGCCAATGCTGGATAGTTGTGAGGCACTCCAAGCTTATCTACTCAATCAGCCCATTCCCTTACACTTTGTTGATGGACATTTCACTTTGCTGTTCACTTAGGACTAGGATTTCAACAACAGTGAAGAAATCTGTTACTCTATAAAAGGTAACACCTCTATTCAGCTTTTTTATAAATCCATCTGAACTGGCGTAAGTGCTCATCTATCAACTTGCATGAAAAATGTAAATGATGACAAGATATTGTTCTGAATTGCATTTGATATCAGTTTCCTATTCTCAGCCGGGTCACTGTGAGGCTACAATACTGACACTGACTGATTTCCATAATCGGGTTTTAACGGCAGCAAATACAAGAACTCCAAGCAGCTCTGGATACTTTGGACTAATATTTTGCTAATGCTCGGGTTGGGTCACAAAGGTTGATTTTTGACAAACTTGGATTGCCAATTGAGTAGTCATCCACTTCCAAAGGAAATCAATCATAAAAAAGGACAGATCCAGAACCGACTTATTTGCGGGGGCAATTATTTTCTTTTCAGAGGGCCAAATATTACTTTGGAATTTCTATACGTAACCATTTATAGCCTTTCTCAGGGTTGAGGCTAAATTTGGGAGAGGGGTGTAAATGAAACAGTCCCCAAAATATGATCATTGGGACCAATGGGAGGGGGAGAGTCATGGCCCCTTGGATCTGCCCTCGATGATAAATGGCTGTGGCAAGAGACGCCATGCCTTTTTTTTTGCCATCTGTTTTGCCGTTGTTCTAGTGGAGGGTCAGTGGTTTTTCTTCCATGAACATAGACTCCTGATAGAGAGGATGAAGAGAGAGAGAGAGAGACAGAATGACGCACAACAGTTAGTACAATGCCGTTAACGCTGATACCCCCTGAAGTAACACAGAAGTACACTGTGGGGGCGGGGACTGGCAGACTTTGGAGGGGGGCACTTTGTGTAGATTGCTTGTGAAGACTGCTTTGAAACCCCATTTAAAATCCATTTAAACAAACATAAGCAGTACTGAAAAGTCAACCTTTTTCCTATGGAGTTGAGCAATGCGCCCCCCCCACAGCTACCTGTTTGTCCACCCGGGTATTGGATCAGTTGTGCATTCATATTGTAATGGACATTCACTTTGTGTGCAGCATCTGGTATAGAAAACCTGTCAATTCTGGAAAGGCGTTGAGAACCAAGGCCAGGAAATCTTCTCCAGCAAATACGCAGTGTCAGATTTCTGATGAATGTGGTGCGCCGCGCTGAGGATGCGCAACCAATGTCTTTCCCAGCTAGCCCCCGTCTTCTTTGCCTGTGAGGGCCCTCTACTCGCTACTCAGTGCATAGAGAACTGTGCACACTCAGGTCATGTGAGCAGTGTGCCATACGCATGCATGAATGAGGGAGCACGGTGTGGTCATGGTTTGATAAATTCCAATGGCCTTTTTAAACTTCACATTGCTGCCTTTGGAGAAAAACTTGCCCAAAATGAAACAAGTAAACAAACAGGAAAACAAACAAACAAAACCAGACAGCGTGTGGCAAGCGTGGAGGACCTCCCTACCTTCTCATTGCTGTCCCTGGACAGAAACTTGCCAAAGAATCTCCGGGACTTCTTGCCGCCGTCCTCAAACAAGACCTCGTCCTCGTTGTCGCCGTCCTCGATGGCGCAGGTCTCGGCCGCTGGCAGCTCCCCGTTGGCCGAAGCCACCAACTTCTGGTATTTGTACTCCAGTCTGTGGTGAAACACAGTAGAGAAGTTACAGGGCGCATTACTTGTGCTGGCAGAGAAGCATAGAATGCATCTCTATTTAACTCTAACAGTCCTCGATCCTCCAATTTCAATCTGATGTTACATGCACCCTAGGGATTAGAATTCAGGGTCTACGTGATGCAATTTTGTCACTACTACAACCCTCGAAATTGAACTCTGTGTTTCAATTAAACATAGTTTCAATCTTTACTTTGCCATCTTTTCAAGGTATTACGGTGCCTGTTTGGCTTTTGTGTTAATGCAAATTTCTACATTTATGAGCAAAACTGTTCCGTCATTTCAGGGAAAAAACCTCAGTGTTCCACTGATTTGTGTACCAAAAGCACTGCTGGAACCTTGAATATTTTGCTGTTCTAAATTTCCTATTCTCTGGTGATTAGTAGTTGTGTGAGCATAATGGCAATAAGTCAGTGAGCAAACTTGTTTTCAACGGGCAACTTTACAGTTAACATGAACAGGAAGACCTCATAAAAACTGAACAGTGTCTTCCCTGACTGACATCACAGCAAACACGCCCTCAGTTGTCCAGAAAGCATTTCAAGTGCCTTAAAAAGTGCACCTTTCAATACACTTGACCCAAAAACAATGTCAAATTGTTCTCGTACATTGAAAACAACGACAAAGTTATATAAAAAGTGCGTCTCGGTGCATGAAAAAGCCTGAAACAAGAAACGCTCATCGGGAGACCTGGAATTCAACACTCACTTTCGGTTGCGCTTCCAGAAGTAGAGGGCGCACGTGATGAGGAGAACTACGCAGCCCATGAAGGCAGCGATGGAGGCCTGAGCGTACCAGGGCACCTGGCTGTACCAGGGCTGCATCTGGCAGGGCTTAGTCAGGTCCTTGGGAAGGGGGTTGCCGCCGGTGCAGAACCTGGTGAAGGACAGGGAGGTTATGGCAAAGTTTTAGGATTCTGTAAAAGACCGAGGCCCGTCTTCACATAGCTGCTAGGCATAAAATGCTGCTTGGAAAGTTGACGAGTTCATTCACAGCAGAAGTTAGCTAGGTACTGCCAGTACACGTAACATTTCATTTGGGCAGGAATTCTGGATTTTTTTTGCTTGGCTTATTTTTTCCTATGCTTCGCAAATCCACGGCATTTTGCCTTAGGCCTGAAGATTGATTCATAACGCTATAAAAGTGGTTACACTAAAAACAAATTGCACCATTCTTATAACATTAACAACCACCTTTGGACTACACAACAACAAACTCTGTAACGAGTCTGTCCTCATTCTTGATATCTTGCTCATTACCAGAAAAACACTAGACTACAGAACAAGTTCACGTATGCCCTTGCAACATCAGAATACTTTTTGTCCATCAGTCCAGGCTTTTTATCTGATTTGTACTCCATGCAGACTTGACATTTTGAAACGATGCAAAGTGTAAGTGGGGGTGCATGTAAGAACTTGTATTAAGAGCTGAACCCCTTATTAGGGTTTTGTTGTGACAAAAAGGGCTTCCTCGATGCACTGGCTGGGAAATCTCACTCGGTACTTCAGCTGAAGAAGTATCCAGCCCATCAGCTGCTTTCAGGGAAGGATGGAGGGTGGCTGGAGTTCATTTTATGCAGCACTTTGAGCTCAATAGTCTGCCCTGAAGATATCAATTCATACTATCAAGTGAAGGGAGATGATTGTAGTAAAGTGTCTTGCCTGAGGACACTAGTGTCCCATCAGGGTTTGAACCTGCAGGATATCTCAAGTAAGCCAGACTATGGAATCACTCAAAAATGGTGCTACGTACGGCTTCAAATCCAACACTTCAACCTCCACTTACAAAATCCGGGCTTCAGCACTTCTGCTACATGCCCCTCAAAAACCTGGACTTCAATTCCTCGGTAACCGCCTAAAAGAAAAGATGTCTTACTTGGGGCTCTTCCACATGAACTGTATCTCCTGCTTGCTGTCCACGCACTCCCCTTTGATGGTCTTGTAGTCCCCCTCGTGGCAGAGTGGGCAGCCGTGCTCACTGCGCCACAGCAGGTGGAAGGCACAGCCATCGCAGGTGCCCGAGGGACATTTCTCAGGGAGATGGAAGGAGCCGGAGCCTGTGGCCGAGGGGTCGCAGCGGAGGGTGATGATGGTGCTGCGGCCTTCCGGGCAGGCCAGGGTCGGCCTGGGAGGGGGGGAAGAGGCGGTGAAAGGGTACAACTGATTGACAAGAGAGCTTTTGTTAATACTTCACAGATGCTAATTCAGCAGAACTTATTAGAAATCTCTTTTGCAGTGGCCTTCATCACACACACAGAATTGTGTGATGTGACATTCAAACTTCACTTGTGATGTCATCTCTGGCAATGAATGGATGCATGTTACATCTCCCTCCCTGTATAGGACATGATTAAGCTGTTTGTATTGTATTATGAAGTTGTGTGGGAGAATTGGCTGAAGGCCCTTCTACCAGACACAAGATAACTTCTTGTCGAGGTGCTTTCTTTCACCTCACTTCTTTAAGGCTGATCTACAAGTACCTGTACTGTACCACTGGCTTCCTTCACAGTGGAGGATTTGGAGGACGGAGGGATGTTCCAAGCAAATACTACTGGGGTGAGTTGGTTATTTTTATACAACTCATTTTGCAGAGAGTACACTGCAAGTGTGTTTGGTTTAACCCCGACTTTCTACTCCTGTTTGCTTTGAAAACTTCCAGTATATTCTTTATACTTGAACCACCATAGATATCAAGTCTCCGGTATTAAAAGTAACAGAAGCTGGGCTCTTCCTTCTCTCTATCCAGCCATATCTTCTCAAACCTCCGGGTCGGTTTGGAAGGTTCTTGGAGGAGTGGGATGCAAGGGCCATGCTGGCTCTCATCACAGAAACACTGGTATCTGGCTTAACACCCTACTTACCAGGCAGAATGGTAGAAGAAGTGGAGGTCCCTGGGACTGCCCTCCACTGAGAGGAAGATGGTCTCGTTCAGGCTCTTCAGCGAGTTGTTGCTGGTGATGCCGACCAGACGGTCGCCCAGGCTGCGGCGGAAAGAGATGGCAAACTTAGGACCAGCTAACTGGGTGGTGATGTGTACCAGCAAGGGTTCAAGAGGAAACCAATAAGGACAACTTATACTGGTCACATCAGGGTCGTGCATAAGCAGCGTAACTGCACATCTGGGGCTGGTTCATACTTGGTGCAAAGCAAACGTGAATATGAAACTGTGGCGACCGATCACAAATTTGCCAATTTGCAACAGATTAACACCTTCCGGCTCAGGCCAATTTCGTTACAAAATGCTTTATGATATCATATTCACTTGCCTTCGCATTCACTCTAAGTATGAACTGGCCTTAAAATGCAGTGGCCTGGAGCATTTTTAAAATCCAGGATTCCTTTCAGGCTTTGGCTTCATCTCCTTTTTAGCCTCCAAGTGTTTGATTTGTATGAAAAATCCTCTGATATCTGACTTCATGTCGGTTCAGCACTTCCACAGCAGAAAACACTGCTTCCTTGAGCCACAGCACCCACTTTCAGAAGATTTAATGGGCCCTGGCTTCAATAGGCTTGACCTTAAGCCCTGCGTCTCTTTACCTGATTGGCTGAGCTGACAGCACACCTGCATTTCTAGATGGCGGTGGGATGATCGTGGACCGACAGATGTAGCCTTCAACGCTGTTGACCTCGTAATCCGTGAGCTTCAGGAAAGATCATTCGATGCAGCAATGTTATTTTCCAAAGAAAAGGAATATAATAAAACTTTACTCTTTTTTCACCTGTTTCGCCAAGTCTCAGAGATTTAGTTGTGAGTGAAGTTGTGGTGTAGAATGTGTAAAAGTCATATTTCAATTTTTCAGATGTACGCTGCAAAGGATGACCAATCAAATTTGAGGATAACGGTATCAACAGCCGCAACACCTGCAGCATACATTACACACGCCGGTACTGATCTCTTTCAGAGAAGCTGATAACACGGTATAAAGAAACGATGTAATGACTGGCATGGAACCTTAGGCATAAAAACCATAGATCTTTCTTGTTCAATAAGGTCCGTCATTTGAAAAACCTCATGCTGATGCTGATTGAAAGGGTGCAAAAAAAAAGGGTTGTGTGCCCTTCACCTCACAACTCCCCAATGAAGTGTAAATGTAAGGACTTGGTTTCAACGGAGGGAAAAGATTGCAAAATTGCATTTTTCAAACGCTCCAAAACAAGTAAAGAATAAAGGGGTCTTTAAGATGGTTCGTCAGCCAAGGGTGTTCATGTCGTGAAGATCTGCAAAGTGCCATGGAAGATGATAGTGAATGAAAATTGAAATCAAAGCATATGACTCATCTTGACAAATCAAGTTGGAAACTGAGAATTAACAAATGCCCGATTTTCAGCTTGCTTCGGAATATAACTGCTCAAACTTTTTTCCAGAAAGTGAATATTTCCTTCCAAATTGGGTTGTTCTGATGAAGTATGAGCGAATTATAAAAATATTGAAATAAGTCTAATGATTGATGGTAAAAAGAAATAATAACAGAAGATTTGGCTAGCCCTTCACTCTCAGAGATGAATCCCACACCACTGCAGTTTGACATAATACTAAAGCAATACTGCTAAGCAGATATTTAACTGCTGAGCCAACATTCCACGTAGCACTGGGAGCAATGCGCATGTGTAACAGGACCTTCTCTTACAAAGCCAAACCTTCAGGCACTCAGCAAAAGTGGTTAGCAGCGAGGGCGTAATTGGCCCCTTCATCAGCCTGAGCAAAGAGAAGATTTAACCCTGACCCTGCCTGCCTGACAGGTGCAGCAAGCGCAGAAGGTATAAAACAATCTAGTGCGTTTATTGCACTGGAGAATTAACAGCAGCCGAACTAACTGGCCACATTGAGACCATGGGAGCTGGTCCCTCAGAACAATGCCTCTGTTGGATCTAGTGGTGGCTGGCAACCACAGACTCCCAGGCCATTTAAGCCTTGGGGAGAGTCAACCGGCTGGATCTTGTTGCACTGGGCGGGCAAGCCACTTGGACGAGTGATGCAGACTGATGTGTCTGGCAGGGTTTCTAGCCAAAACGCCCAGGAGGGTCAGGGTTAATGCAACGCAATGTACCACTACCCGTGCTGGGCAGTTGCTAGCATTTCACCCACAGATGCTAGGTACTGGACTGGCCCATGTCTCTGACTGAGGTGGAAGATGTTATACAAGTACAGTCAACTCTCGTAAGTACGAGGGCCTTGGAACTATAAGCTCATATTATGCCGTCCTGCTTTGACGTATGTATCACCAATTGACCGAAACAAGACTGCAACTTTTGTACCTTTCGTTATATGAATTTGATTTCAAAAAGTTCTTAATGAAAGTGAGATGTATATGTACAGTTTAATGACTAAAGACTTGTAATAAAGAATAATTGTAAAATCTAAGAACGGAGGACGTGGTATTTCCACCAGTGGTCGATTCTGAGTGATGCTGTACCACACGTTCGCGGCCCCGCACACCGTGATGAGATCCACATGCACGCACGGAATGTAAGTACATCCAGTTTAGTTGGTAACCAACACGAGCGCTGCGCTTGTTGCACATAAAAATGGACGAAAACCAGCTATTGGTGGTGGGGACAGTAGGATGGCAAACATCGGATTTTACTTTGGAAGGGCGTGCTGGTTTGGTGAAAAATTATTTGCGAGGGATGCACTTTTTCTTCAAAACTTGTGGATCTTATTTTCTTAAACATCTTTGGACTGAAAACCATGGTTTTGTCATGTTTTTTGTAAAAACTGAGAATATATATAAAGATTTCAAAACCTGATGGGGCGATATTTTCGTGTTACGGTGGGGAGTGGGTAATGATTTTTTGATGTTTTTGGGGGCCAGGGGTGTGGCTACGGAACACAATTTTTATAAGTTTCCTGGGGGACTTTGGTCTTCAGGAATTTTCGGGGATAAGGGAATCAAACAAAGAATTTCTTTTGTTCACAACTGTCCTAAATATCGTAGTGCTTTTGGCGGCACTCGCCTGTGTTCAGGTGGCACGAGAGCCACCACAAAGAATTTCTATGTTGGGTACAAGAACGGGAAACGCCCACTGTTCGTCTCTCTAGCAGCACCATGCACAAATGGCTTGATTCGGTGAGGGAAAACTGCAGTGCTGTACCACAGTACATGAATAAATTACGGAAGCCCCTTTCAAAATTGAATGGGCTGGCTGATTGACAAGTTGCCTTAAAAAAACTTGTGCTAAATAGACAGATAACAATAGATTTGCGCTCAGCCCTTGTGCAAAAAATGCTCGTCTTAACTGAAATCTCGTAACACCCGAGCTCATATTACACATTCTGTCCCCTCATAGGAATGTGCACAATTCAGTCAGGACTGGCAACATATGCTCGTCTAAACCGGAGTCTCGTCTTACCCGAGCCCGTACTACAGAGAGTCGACTGTACATGTATGTGAGATTGCAATACTATGACCCATCACCCATGCAGTGCTGGCATTCCCTATGATGCACCACTAACATTTCAAAGGAAGAGTGCAAACTTCAATGCTGGCCACTGCCTGATTGCAAAGCTAGCCAGCCAGCTGGCTGAATGAATGACCTCTGACACGTGAGCAGAGATACATACTAGTCAACAACTGGGTAATTAACAGGCCTCTAGCTTGCTAGCAGGCTGGGCAATGTTACTAGCAAGTCACTGATCACCAGCATTGGCCACTATTTAACTAGCTGGCTGCAGGTGCCAGAAGGCTGCTGAATCGACAGCCTTTATACGTGTTTAGTCATCAGGGCATACCAGGCATGTCAGTTAGCTGCAACCACAGACGGACCCAAGCCCTTGCACTTTTCCCTGTGAACATGTGAAGCATGGCAGGCAACCAGGCATGTCTGTAAGCCGCAGCCACTGACTTAACCAAATCCTTGCACTCTTCCCTGTTAACGTGCGAAGCATGGCAGGCTACCAGGCATGTCTGTAAGCCTCGGCCAATACTTAGCCACACCCACCTTCTTCTTAAAACTAGGGTCTGTAGATTCACCCTGCATTGTTACGGTAGACAGGAGTCGGAATTGTTAAAAAGCACAGCAACTTTAGTTACAGATTGGTATTTGCAACAAGAAAGTGTTAAAATGAGTAGTTTGCATCTGCTTATTGCCCCTGTACAGAAATCACAATAGTTCAAAGTAAATAAGTACACAGTAAATATGTGTAAGTGAGCACCAAAAGTGTGTTAAAAGCACCTTTTTTTAAAAGACTGAATATTTACAGTGAGGTTTAAAAAGAGTACACGGATGAGGTGTAGCAAGCTAAACTGTCCAGAGATATAATTAATGAACAGGTGGTTCGGTAAGGTAGAAAATTAGTGATACAAAAACCACAGACATTTCAGTTTTCTCAAGTATCGCACAGCCAGTTGGTTTGGTAACACTTATTCTTTTAATCGCTACAGTTACAAAATCCTGTGGTGATTTCAAAGCTGAAATGCCTGTCCCAAATCCAAAATGTGTCAATTGTTCCTGCCTTAACCCTCCTACGCTGAAGTCACTCTTGGGGTCACTTTGTAAACACCTCAAAGAAGCACAGCTGTGTCGTGTTGTGCACTGCACCAACATGCAAGAGAGTGACCTTGGGCACTTGGCATATTTGTGCTGTAAAACTGAAGGAGGGTTAATAAATTAGGCTGCTCTGAAGAGAAAGTGCACCAAAAGAGAAAAACTGAGGCCAAACTCCAGAGACAATATACAATGGTAACAGCCTGAAACCCCCGCGGTGAAAAACGGCAGATGAGTTCCCATCAGATCATTCTCCATATTAGGAATATCTGAGATGGCCCCTGCATGAAAGACAACAGCGGCTACGTATACTGACCACGTCGGTGACGTTCTCATAGCAAGCGGCGCTGCCTTGGCCTTTGGTGGTTCCGCACAGGCTGATGTTGAAATGATGGAAGAAGCGACTGCCCCTGGCGGTGAAACTAGCACCAGTCTGCACAGATTGGACCCTGTGGATGATATATAGGAGGATTGGTCACTTCTCCACAGAACTACAGGAAAATATTCACCATGGTGAATTGTGCATTGCAAACCAGTTAATAGCACAGATTGTGCAGGGCACGAACTTCATGGCTTTTGAAAAACTCAAGGTAATTTCATGCAGCACATGCAGAACTGTGAATGGGCAGTTTAAGTGTCTAATTTTGAGTGTTATGACGACTTTTTCTGCCATCAAATACAAGCAAAAGTGAGAGTGGTTTGTGAAAGAGCACAGAAGTCACTACAGAAAAAGCTACGCATAAATCATCCATCAAGAACTCAGTGATATGAAAAACCTACTTACAGCTACTTTACATATTGTGAAAAACAGTGCATAAAATGTACCACAAAAAAATTAGCAATACGGAAACCTAAAGCGATGGCTTATTGTAAAAAATATACTTGGAACTGAAAAAGAGGCTCATTTTCAATATCCAAAAGAGCACAAAGTTGGAATATTCAATAAAAAGAAATTAAGTCGTGCTTAGAAACAAAACAAAAATCATAAAGACATCAAATACATATCAGTCTCATTTTCACACTTTAAATTTTACACACATGTGGAGGATGACTGGAAAAGGCATGGCACATACGTGGCCAAGGGAAAGAGTTTTTATATCTGGCCATGTCATATCTCCCTTGATACACATTGAAAACTACCCATAAGTGTACATCTGATAAAGAAACACCGACGAATGAAACAAACTTCAAGTCATTTGAAAAAACTAGGACCTTTTTTTTAAGGCTCGTCTATTTTGCGCAAAAGGTCCGAGGTGGTGGCCGGATATGAAACTCTTTCTACGGTGAAGGATAACAGAGATACTGCAAGCTTTTTATTGAATGCCAACGCTCGACTCACCCGGCGAGTTTGCCGAGTTCGTAGTGGAGTCCGTCCGTATGGACGTGGCAGGTACTGTAGCAGCTGGTTCCGTCGTCACTCTTCATGCCTGGACCACAGGGCACGCAGGCCTCTGGACCGTAAGGGTTGTTGGCCCTCAGGTAAGTATCTGTCGTAGAACAAGACCAGAGCCTTATGTATATATGTAGCCATCGCTTGACTTGTGGTGCAAACAAGTATACAAACAAGACTGTGCGGTTAACACTGAGCATGCAAGGCGATGAAGCACTTCACATCAACGTAAAAATCATGCAAGAACTGATTAAATATTCAGAACGTGTTTTTAATAGTAGATGGGAGGGCGGACAAGCCGAGGACAAACAGCATTGGGATTTAATTTCAGAAGCTAGAGATAACAAGTTCTTTCCAGGAAAGTACACATATTTCTAAGCTTCAAAGCTTTTTTTTTTGACAGATATAAAGTCTCAATAAATATACAGTGTATCACACCGTGTTTTGCTCTTCCCATCAATTCAAACATGTAGCAATTGCAGCTTTATCAGGAGACCAAGCCCTATTGGCCTTTTATTCAGGAGTCGGCCATCTTGAATCAGATGCTAGGTGGTCCTTGCAAAAATTTCCTAAAAACTTAATTTGTGTGGGATGGAATGAATGCATGATGAAATAGGGGCAAATTATACATTATTAACCTTAAACTCCAATGGCTACCGTAGTTTAAAACTATGGAGAAAAACCGTCACGTCACTTTTGCAGTCCAAACGAGAATTTTCTTTTTGAAGTGAGGCTGTGCCTGTAATCGCAGCAAAATAGCCTGGCTCTTCCCAGTGCAGAGTGTTCAATAAATGAAGTGGATTTGGGAAACTCCTCGAATCGGCACGGCTAGCTTGTGAATAAAGCCCATGTTTACGTACAATGACACAGCTGGGACTCTATAGCCCAAAGTACAAATCAAGCGAAGTCTGATGGTGCAGATTTGGAACAACAAACCATCACTTACACTGATGTGTGAACATACAGTACATGCATTCACCAACTGGTATGGCATTTAGGCCAAGTCATCAACAGGCTGTGGCTAGGAGTAACACATGCCTCTATGGAAAGTAGCCGCAGCCGCTAGCACGTGGCTTCCATGGGGCATATGCTATTTCCTGCCAAAGACAGACTTTCAGACACAGTCGCAAGCCATGTCTAAATTACTTGACTGCGGCTTGAAATTACGACACGACTCCAGCAGCCACTACCATAGCCAAGTAATGCAGACACAGCCGCCATCAAAGATCCCTCTTTACACTCCCACGACACGTCTCCTGTACCCAGACAGTAATATCACAACCAGGTAATTTAACCTCCATTTATGGCACCTGACTACTTTTTGTCAGGCATTTTCTACTTACCCTTCGGGCATGGTATGCACTTGTTAGTGTCATTGGCTATGTAGTGTCCAGCCTCGCACGGTATGCAGCTATGCAGGGAGGCAAGAGCAGGGTTTGAAAACACAAGCAGGGTTAACGGTGGTTAGTTCATGCAAATGTCATGCACTTTGTCAATGTTTTGTGATTCTGTTAATCACACAATGCATTACAACATTTGAAGCAAGATATGGGACGGAGAGAACCCCCCCGCCTTTGT